GTTCCTAACGGAAGTGCAATGAGGTCAAAACTATTCCGCAAATTTAATGAGCTCTACTTATAAATACCTACACACATCTATGTATATATGCACCTATATATATATACTGATTCTAGAAACTGGTTCGATTCAAAGGCAAAACAAGTGTAAACTGCATTAAGCACGTCCTGTTTCTATGGTTTTAATCCTTTCATAAAAAAATTGAATAAAAATAGAATTTATGTAGGTTTCTTCTTTCATATTTAAAAATAACTCAAATATATACCTTAACATTCAACTGCCTAGCTCGAGCCGTGTGCCACGACCGTAAAGTATTACTTTACAAGTCAATATTTGTGTTACATGAATACAAAAATGGGAAATGACTGCTACTAGCGATTGCCCCAGTGGACATACTCTAGAAAAATGCAGGCAAAGGGAATATGTTGGTCAAGCATATGCTATATAAAAAAATATAGAATTGTTGAAACATACTTTTATATAATATAAAAATGTTCTGAATAGGAAATTAAATTCTATAAATTAAAAAAAATATAATAATAAATAAATAATAATAAAAATAATAATAATAAAAATAATAATAATAAAAATAATAATAATAAAAAATAATAATAAAAAATAAATAAAATAATATATTTATTTTGCATTATAAGAAAGTTAAAGAACTTTTCGATACATTATAGAGTATTATTTATACCTTTTTGTATACCTTTATATATGTATATATATATTCCTTTATGTATATATAGCTATATATAGTTACAAACTATTCAAGTGCTCGATTAAGACATTATGGCATACATACACAATAAACTGTGATTCCAGCCAGGATATCAGCCTGTGGAGTTGCTTATCTAACAAAGTCTGAAAAGAGTATGACTTAGTCATAATCTCTTGCCCACAATTTGCTTTTGCAAGAATGCATTTTGTGTTTCTATGCTTGTCTTGGGTTTGGTTGGCTTGGCTACTTTTTATTAGCTGTTCGTTCTACCTTCTACCTTCTAGTTGGCCACCTGCTCTCTGCTGCTCGGTCGAGCAAAAGTTTTGTGGCATGGAGAGCGATATAAATCAAATGATTGACAAAAAGTGCAAAATGGTTAACAGTAATGACATCAGAGGCAAATGGCTAGCAAGGCCTTGAAGGGAGCTCGAATAGGTGGCATATTTATTTATAAGTAGCCCATTAAGTATGCTCTTTGGGCGGGCTAATCTAAGTAAGTGGGTCGAATTCGAATGATTTCATATGCGAATGCTCTTCTCTTTTTCTTGTAGGTAATTGAAATCCATATGGCATGCTCCATCCAGCATATTTATGTGTGTGAAACGACGTAACGCCACGCAGCGGGCAGCAAATCATTTTTCAAAAATAAATGTACGGTAAGAGGCAGGCACTCTGTATAAGGAAGAAAGCGCGCAAAAAGTATAAACACCCGATATCAAAATGCTTTTAAACTAACCAAGGTGAGTGATGGCATCGAGTGCGCTTCAACTGGCCGATGGAGCGTGTAACAAGGAGACGAGCTATACCTAAAGGTTGACAACTCGATTTGTATCGGCTCACAATGTTTTTCTTTTGTTGTAAAGTTTTTACTTTGGTTTATTTGTTGAGTTTTTTTATAATAGTTTCAAATAATACTTTGGGTTGAGCTCGATGAACTTTCTGTGTTATGGCTGCCTCGACAGGTGCTGACGGAATCATAATTGATTTGATTTCTGATTACGATCTGTCTACTTTCAGCTAATCAACCAGCTAATTAACCAACTTAAATTAACTAATTAAGCAATAGAACGCATATAAATCTATAATTTTAACAGTAAAATAGTAGGGCACAAGCGAATTTGAATAATTCTTGTGTTTCCCTGGGGAAAACAAAACGCTTCTTAAATTAATGACTGTAAAGTTAATTACAAATTAAGAGCGAATTAAGTATATTGAGTATATGTCATTCTTAACCCCGTCAGGGACTGGATGTGGTACTTATTTAGCGGGTATTTACTTAGCGAATTCATTGTTATCCGTCTGGCCGAACTGTCCAATTGTCCAATTGTCGAACTGTCTATGAGCAGCGCGACGGAGGAGTATCAACGTAATGGGTGGTGGCCTTGCGGCGCTATCTATTGTATACACCAATCCAGAGGAACGCGTCAGAGGCGCGCATATTGCCAAAACGCAGTCAGAGCTATTGGTGGAGTGGAGCACGCCATCGAAGGTCGCACCAATGCACGAGAAAATTCTGGAGGAGACACGAAAAGAAAAGACTGAGAAGGTGCATCTTCTTGGCAACGCTAAGGAGAAGCCGTCAAAGGACAAACCCCCCAAGCAGTCAAGACTAGCTGAACGATTGCGTCGTTCATTCCGACGCAGTGTACACAGCTCTCTGGAGTTCAAATCGACGTCGGACGATTGCCAAGCCAAGAGCTCCACCTCGGCGCCGCTGCCTAAGCTAGACAACAACAATCTGGTCGGACGCATACCCTTCTCGGTTGCCAGCCAACTGCATCTGCCCGGCCTGGCACTTGGCGGACACATTAACACGGCCCTCTTGCTGGACAGCCCTGACGAGTGCACGCCGCCGGAGTACGCCTACCAGCACCTGAGCAGCGTAGCTACCACCAATACCAACTCTAGCAGTTCGCTGGAGAGCAACTTTGAGCTGAGCGAACTGAGGGAGGAACTCTACTGGGCCAGCGGCCAGCAGAACATTGAAATGGGCAGCGAGATGAGCAGCGCCATCAAAAATGAGACGCCGGAGCAGAGGGAGAGTAAGCGAAGAGTCGACCAATTGGGCAGCAATCGGATGGCCGATCAGCAGGCAGCTATTCCGGCCAATGCCAGCCGCAGCTGCAGCATCACCAGCGAGAGCAGCTCTGTCCGGATGACACGCCTGCAGAACTTTCTGTTTAGGAGCAGCAACGAGAGCTCTCGCAGCTGTCAGGGCCACTCGAATGATGGCTTTACCGCTTCCTCGTTCAATTCATCGTCCGGCGAGTGGGAGCAGCTGGGGGCACATGTGATTTCCAGCAGCAGCGGCGTTGGTGGCCTTCATGACCTGAACACGGGCTCCTTTCCCGAGGAGGACACACCAGACGAAGCTGATGTCGAGACCACATTGCCCAACGAAAGCGGCGACGCTGGCGCCTACTACCAGTACACGTTGACCTCTCCAAACAATCCTTTTCTGCCGGAAATTACAGCACGGACGTACCACAGCACCTACGAGGACGACGACTTGCATGAGGGCCAGCTGCAGCCCGAGGAGCTGCAGCTAGATTGCAATGTGACATCTGTTAAATATACTGGCTGGGGCACTGGTACGCGATCCGCACAGCTACCAACGCCCGCTTACAGTCGTGCTGGCTCCCAGGAGTCGACGTTCAGTGAGAGCGGTGTTAGCTGCCCGCAGGGACCAACGCCCAGCCCAGCATCGAGCTCCTCCTCGACGCCTGGCCGGCAAAGACGCAAGTTGTTCAGCCTGAACTCGCCCACGCGGCTGCTGCACCATCAGCAGAGCAATCCAACGGCAACACAGCAACAACAACAACAACAACAACATAATCCGGGTCAGAAAATCGAAATGTCCGCCTCGCCAACCGAAAGCCTCAACGCGAGTGCCTTGGTGCGCAACCTGAATCCCTTTCTGCCCGCCACATCAGCGCCCATCGCAGTGCCGGCGGACCTGAGAAGCAAACGCGAGGAGTTTTTACGTGCAACAATGAAAATCTGTCTGGTCGTGTCGCCGCCAACAAGCAAACTGCAGGTGAGTCAATGTTTAGCTCCAGCCAGGACCCGTTCCAACGGCAAGGCAATGCACGGCACGGCGCGGCACGGCATCGCACAGCACTTTCCTTTGCCGGAAAACAATTTGTAACATGCGAATAAAGACTTTTCAATTTCTCTCTTTGTTTTATTTACTTGCTTCTTCTTGTTTTCCTAAGAGTTTCAGCTGCTAGCAGCTGTCATCACTTTCTCATTTATTGTTATTTTGCCCTTACAGAGATGTTTTATAATTTCGTGGAGAACAGGGTCTATCTGTGGCAACTTGGCTGCTATTAAAGCAAAAACTAACTGAATAATCATATGCCCCGGGGCGTCATACATTTCTTGGTTTTATTTTGACTTTCGCGAAATTCCCTTATGAAACTGGGCTTATTTTCAGATATCTAGAAAGCAGCTCATCAATTATAAGTTTATTTTGTTTGTTGCTGCCCAAACACCTCCTGAGCTTACATATTATAGGACCCGGGACTAAGTGTAGGCCAAAGAAAACTCAGTCACATTCGGCTTGCTGCTGTTGTCTCGTTAGAAAAGTTGGACATTGCTGTCATCATAATTGGCATAACTTGCTCATTTATTGTAACTATTTCGGATCAATTTATTTGCCAATTCAATGGCTCAGCTCCTCCACTCCGCTGCGGACTCTTGAATGTGCTTTAATTATCTGGTTTGCTGGCTTGTGTTGAGAGCTTTTCTTGCTGACTGAATAAACCGCACACTATTAATATTTTTATTTATTTATTTATTTTATTTGTTTTTTTTTTTGGTGTAGCCAAGCCTGGCAGCTGTAACTAGCCAAGCGCAATAAAATATTATTTTATTGATTGGCCAAGTTTGTTTCAGGTGCAATCAGCTTGAAATGGAAACATGCAAATGCAGGAATTTGCATAGTATTTCCTTTTTTTTCACTTTTTTTTTCGTTATTTGATGAGCCTGCATTCCATTTCATTGATTTATGGCATCGGACATGGGTTTGGTCTGGCGGCTTGTGGATTGTCGGCGGAAACACGGCACACTTTGCAAATTAAAGAGTTGCGGCACTTGAACTTGTATGTGCTCTGCATGTTGCACATAATCTAACTGTTATTATTTTTAATGTTATGCGTGCACAACTTGTAGAAGTTGCGCCTTAAATTTGATTATTAAAATGTCGGATATTGGGTCGACGGTTTGCGGATTTCGGTTTTCTGTCATTCACACGCTTTTTCCATTTATTCCATTTCAGCTGAAATCAAAAAGTCTCACCCACTTAGATGGCCTCGACACGCCGGTGCCAGCCTGCCAGCACGGAGCTGCCGCACCCACGACCACCGCCGAAACCTTCACGACCCCAGGCATGTCAGCGCCAACGGACACGCCTGGCCAGCAGACGCAATCGGTAAGTGAAGATATGGCTAAAAAGTTCAAAATAACGAAACCAAATGGCATTTAGTTCAAACGCTGCATGCCTCCAAATACGATATATATACATATAGTGTATGTAAGTATATATCCATGCCAACATGCTATTCCAACCGACCCCCGTCCCAACAGGCCTTTCCCCCCTAGTGACACAGTTCCGAACTGTGAAAATGTGAAAAAGAAAATCGTATTGTTTTCAACTTATGTTTTTTGTTTGATACATTTCTCGCATCTGCGACATTCATTGATTTGCTTCCATCAGCAGAGACGAGACTCTCTGCCCATCATAATCAAGCTACAATTAATAGTTTTAAAGTAGCTTTGCTTAGCTTTCATTATTATTTTATTTTTGATTGGGCTCTTTAATGATCTTTCCTATATATATATTCCAAAGTCTTATGCTTATGCTCTCTCTCTCTCTCTCTCTCTTTCTCTCTTTGACTGTCTCTCTACGTTTTACTCTCGTTTTCTTTCTCTATTTTCTAACTATCCGTTCCAATCTAAATGCTACTTTTTACTCACGTACATACATACATAAATACGTACATGTTTACAAAAAAACACCCTTATATAGGGGGAATTTCGACAAGCCCCCAAGGTCTGCAAGCCGCATCCACACACCACGCCCACAACTATTCCACCGCCCACGATTTATACGCAGGCACCACAATTTGTGCGCCGATCGCCGTCCCTGATGCTGTCCCCGAACAGCTGTCAGGCCGGCATCGGCTCAGGTGCTCGCTGCAGCGTCAGCTCCGCCCAACAGCCGGCGTGCAGCAGTGCCACCGGAACAACTTACTTAACACCTACGTCTAAGAACTTGCAGAGCCAGACTTCCGATATTTTGCAAAGTTCGCCGATCGGTTCAGGCTCTTCGATACCATATAGTTACTATGGCGGCTCTAAGACCGTCGCTTCAACGACCATGACGTCATCGTTAATACATCGTAAGAAACCGCTATTAACACGCAGCGAGGTGAGTCATCCAGCCAGACAAGATGTGGAATCTGTGTCGCACTCAGCCTAATTTATAATGAGTCATTAAAGGGAGACTCAAATATGGAACGATTGGTCTCTGTTTTTCCTTTGGAAATCTCTTCTTTCATTCTTTCTCATCAATCATTGCCCGCACAGGGCAAGAGGTCATAATACCTTTTTTCTACAAATGTATCTATTTGGCATATTTTCTCAAGTGATACGGGACGTACACTTATATAACTGCAGCAAGGGTACTAGAACGTTAAGGTCTTACATATTAGCTCATGCCAGGAATAGGCTGATATCTGCAGAGTTTCATGAGCTAATCATAAATTCTTTCTTTAGGTTTCAAGTTCAGAATATTTTTCGGTATCCTTTTGCCTGGAAGCGTCGCCGTGTCCCGACGAGGAGTTTATTCCGGCCACCAAAGGCACAACCTTACAGTGAGTATTGGATTTGTTAAACTAATTTAAGGAGAATACTTTAGAAACTTTGTTTTGTTTACTTTCAGAAATGCACTGAGGCACATGCTGCACAGGCGAAATCTTAGCTTTTCACAGATCAAAATTACAGACAATATTCCCACTTTTAGCTACTTAGATACAGGTACATATGGTTACTCTTCGGCTATACAAATATTTAACATTCGATTTTGAGTAGGTCCATCGAACATGACAAGCCTTTTGGACGAGTATACCGATGTTGAGAACTTGGCTGGGCATCATCTTGTTATTACGGAACGAGACAGCAGTCGTAAATCTTTGCAAAAGGCAGCCTCCTTCGTAGGTTTATGCAAATTGAGTTAAGTAGTTATTATATTGAGCAATTTCTTTCCTTAAAGGGCTCTCGACAGCGACCGCCGCGGCTTCTATCCTCCGCCTCAACAGAGGAGACTAGTGAATCGGGCAATGCCACTGGCAAACAGATACTTGGTCGTTGGTCCTCTATATTCGGTATAAAAAACCCGCAGCAGAGTCAGCTCTATGATCTGCTCAATAATTATGCCAAAAACGGTGTGCCCCAGCGTCCAGATGCTTTTAGCTCCGATAATCCCGCGCTCGCCGACGCCCTGAACTATCTGCAAAACATGGACAAATCGTGGCGGGACTTTGTCGACAGCAACGCGATGAGTGATAGCGAGATTAAGATACAAACTGCCATATGGGAGCTGGTCACCACAGAGGTCTATTACATTCACGCTCTGCAAACGGTTACACACGTGAGCACCCAATTGAACCTTACTTAGGACACTCCCAATATATGAACATCCCGATTCTTTCATAGCTCTTTCTTGCCTGCTTGGAGGCTGTGCAGGAGGAACGCCTGCTGACTGACGTCGACCAGCACAGACTGTTCTCAAATGTACGATCGGTGTGCGAGGCAAACATTAAATTTTGGACCCAATGCCTCTATCCAATGGTAGCACACAGCATAAGGACACACGAGCCACTGAGATATGCCTTTTTCCAAGAAGGTTTCATAACATTCGCTTCAATTTTCGCGCCCTACAAGGTGAAGGCAACTCTAGCTCGACTTTAAGTTCTTTATCTAATCTGCTGTTGATCCACAGGTTTACTGCGCGGAGCAAAGTACGTGCCAGTTTTACTGCAAAGAGCTCAATCAGAACAATGCGCTTTTCACTGTATACTTGGCCTGGTGTGAGTCGCAGAAGATGTGCAATCGCTTGCGGTTGGCCGACATCGTTGTCCGTCCCATGCAGCGCTTAACCAAATACAGTCTCCTGTTGGCGGCCATCAAGAAACATATGACTGATGTGGAGGATATCGAAGTCATGGACATTATGATACACAGCGTGGAGAACTTTGTAGGCAGCGTCAACAACCACTTGACAATGCGACAGGAGAGTGAGCGCCTCAAGGGTGTCATGGCACGCATCGAATCCTATGATGTTGTGGTAAATATCTGCAAATATATATATGCTCTGGTTAAATTGGACTCGATAATGACGTGGAACAATTGCAGGACACTAACAACGAGGTGCTGGACAAGCTAATCAAGCAGCATAGTCAAATGTTTGATTTGTGCGCTCCCATGCGCGGCTGTCCCGTCAACCAGGTGCGGCATCTGTTTATGGAGGGAGACCATAAGTTCAAGGACAACGTCGGCAAAAGCGATGTGCATTGCTTTCTGCTGACTGACATACTGCTCGTGTGCAAGGGCATGGCCAAGAAGGGCCTGGGTGCGCTTAAGGTCATACGCCAGCCATATCTGACCGATCACTTGATCGTGCAGCTCGCGCACAACAACACGCTGAACTGCGTTTACCTCAACGAGTTCCAGGTGCCCACCACAGGCTTTACGCTGCAGTGCATTGAGGCCAAGAACTGGTACGATGCCTTACGGCGCGCCAAGACCATATATCTTAAGCTGAAGCAAGGCTATGGAGGCGACACCATACGCTACGGCGGCAGCGCCACTGGCGGTGGCACTGGAGATTCCCTTCTTGTGCGCAAGTCGCCCATTAACTCTTCGATCGGCAGTCATGTATCGAGCGCGAACAACAGCCACAGCGGCAGTGTGGAGTGGAACGATTCTCGGAATATATCCGTCGATTTTGAGAAGACTAACTCACTCTCCAGCGACGAGGGCTCCAGCCTAATGGGTAAAGCCAAGCAGCCTATGCTAGTGATTACGATACTTATCCTAACTCAATTTCAGGTAATCAAGGCCTAGCGTCCAAGGGCAAGCAGCATTTGCTGAGGGGCGCACCAAAGCAAAAGATTGGCACGATTGCATCGACATCGGCGAATACCCTATCCGTACAGCCGTTAAACCATTTGGGGCAGAGTTTGCCCAACCTGAACTTGCAACACAACCAAACGTAAGTCGCCACAGACAATGATCAGCTTCCTGCTTAATAGAAGCACACGAGCAAGCAATCGCATACACAAGTATTCACTACTCATCTTCTGATTAGCATTTTCCAGTCATTTGTTTAAGTCCTTAAGCCCGTCCGTATACGTCGTTAATGTTATTATACACTTACTATACATACAAAAACAAAAACAAAAGCAAAAACAACCATATTTATATAAACATATACACATAGTTTGTCTAATTTATAATATATTTTTTTATTTGTAATGCATACAATTTTAAAATAAATATATATATATATTCTATTATACATGTAATGTAAAGCCAAGTTTAACTCGTGTCTTTCATCGAAGCCAACATCAACAACGCTTTCTGCCTCCACTACTCACCACAAGTTCTAATTTGCCTGCGAACTCATCTCTTACGCCAGCCATACCCAAAATTTCTTTTGTTTTGCATTTTGATTTCTTAGGAACACATTGAGCAACTGAGAGAGCTTAGCTTAAACAAATCTTGTACTCAGATTGGTTTCTACAAACGTGCCAAAATAGGTCTCTAGTAGTGCCTCTTTATGTTTCATATATCTTGTTTTCGCGTAATTTCAGACAATGAGAAATATACCTATGTAGAAATGGTACATTATACGACTTGGAACATTTTCTGATAATTTGAATATTTTGTTAAATTTGATTTTTGTATACGAGTTTTGTGCACGCGCTTTGATATTTCTAGATCTTTGTTGATCCACTGAAAATGTAGCTGCAAATGATTTGCGTTTTAGTTCGTTCAATGCTTCAGTTCAATGTAGTCCAGCGAATTATGGTCTGATCGGTTTTAAAGTGAAATTTAACATACTTATAGTAACAATACATTACTTGTGCCGGGCACAACGACTAGTCACTCGGGTAACTTATTGTTGTCGCCCAGTCATCGCGGCATTTCCTATCCACCGCCGAGTCCAACTAGGTGAGTCCGAACGAACGATGGGAACAACTGAAATATATATATATACACACATATAGCATCATTGTCCTTTAATATCTCTGTGTCAATTTTCTATATTCGCATATATGTAACATTGCATATTCTCATGATGTCTCATGACATGGCATGTCTCTCGCATCATCAACATGTGTTATGTAACGAACGGTCCATCAACTTGAATCCTAATGCATCCCACCTAAATGCGTACCTGTGTTCGTGTCTCTAGAGTGCCGCTGAAACGTGGCATGGCATTCTCCACGTCCACGAAGAACCCACCACTGCTGAAGACCCGCAATATCACATCGCAGAACAGTATTAATTGGCATCAGATACCGGCCACGCCCACGCCGCCCAGTCCCCGATCGCAACACAATTCGCCCAGCAGTGCTGATCCCAGGCTGCTGCAGAAACAGATATCCCATCAGATGCCCCTGCAAACGACCAAGCAGAGTAACTTGGACCTCCAGCGAAATTTGAGCAATGAAACGGACGTATAATGCGTCCCCTTGGCCAGCCACAGCTAAACGCTTAACAGTTTAGCTTAGAGTTAGATAATGGAAAACGAGAGGAGAACTAATCCATCGACGCTTCTTTAAATAGAGTCGGTCAATGTACATAATTGCTAATACTGCACCTTTGGGTCCAAATATGATACAAATATAATCAGCATTCCATCTAAGTGCTACTACCCATTCCCATTGTCTATCCATATATAAGTCTATATATGCACAATAATCATATAAAACAGATATACGATTACATTCAACGGTACTCTTCCATGGAAAAGAAAACATTATAAGATGATAGTAAAACAACTATTTTTAATCAATAAATAAATACACAAATATGTATGTAAGCATGTTTATAAAACTTTACAAACACATTTAAGAACTTATAGATACATATAGCTAAAGATAGCAACCAAGATTTATAGTAGATATTTATTTGATTCATTCGTTTCTATTATTTTCCCTACTCTGTTGATAATGCTAACAAAAACTGGGTATATTGGTTTTGTGAATGAACCTTTTCTTTTCTTTTTGAATTAGGTAATCTATTGACAGTTATATTTTTAGATACTTCTTAAAGATGACAACTTCTTTCTAATCTGTTTCCGTTTTCTTTCTCTCTGTTTAAAGTAATTCTGTGAGTTTGTCATGATGCGGAGTGAATTTTGACATATCCCTTTCAATAGACTTTCTGTAGAGTTGGATTGTCATAGGCGACGTACTTAAGAGAGAGCACGCTCAACCAAAACATATATTTACTATTGTTCAAATATCAAATACTAATTAGACTTACGTATGGCATGTTGACAGAGATGCATTCAAAATATAACCACTTGACATAGAGTATGAGTTCGTTATGCTTTATCGATTTATACCCGAATCATTTGCTTGAAATTTAGTACAGCGATTTTAAACAACGATTTGAAATAAGTTTCAATATCTTTTGGACACAAAAATATGTGATAACTTATATACAAATTTAACATCAAAAAATGTACAAAGACGAACTTCATGAAGGTTTTAACACACTCTAGTTTTGATAATGTAAATAATAATTGTCCTTTGTTGTTTGTTTGTATTGTACTAGAGAATTGCTTGGAATAGAGTATGTAGTGCCTAAGGAATGATAAACGTTCTTCCTGCCATTCAAAATGATTCCACAATATTTGAACTAAATCGGGCATAGATTATATACATACATGCATAAATCAATATATTTATATGTGGTATTGTATTAAAAATTAGCGTATAAATAATACTTAAGATATCACTTGGGCTATCAACAAATAATAGTTTAATTAAATCAAAAATTCTGATCATGAAACTGTACTTAAAAATTGTACGAAAAAAATATAACAATATACGACTAGGAAAAACTTTTACTTGTATAAATATTGCGAGAAATGTATACACACACCTACATATAATCATATATATATATATATACATAAAGTTATATACAATATACCTAATCAAAAAGGATACACCTGAAATATTAGAATATTATTTAATGAACAATTTAATTGTATTTTAAATACATATTTTAATTATACTTATATATTTATATATATATAAATATATATATATATACATATATGGAACACATTCATATACTGGATAAAAACATAGCTATTCCCACAGTATTATTTAGTGTGCAATTGAAAATGTGTTTTAAAATAGTATATTATATTAGTCATATATCATGGAAAGTTCGAACTACAACGTCGACTTACACACACGCATATATATGCATAAATATATATATATATAGTGGGTTTTTCAGTCCATAAATAATTATTTGGTTGGATTCTATATTATTAAGAATATTTGTTCTTAAACAGAACTCAAGCTTGAAAGTTTCCTGCAAACGAAACATCCAAGACGCAATCTACCTACCTACACACACATATATACACACACACACACACACTTCTTCTATATATACATATGTATTCATTAAAAAATACAATAACTAATCATAGTAAAGGGCGTAATACAAAATAGCTTTATTTACACCAGTAAATTAGTTATATTTACATACATATGAATAAAATGTTAAAGAATTTATGAATTAAACAACAACAAAAACAAAAACAAAGCAAATATTTTCTTTCGATTTCTAATTAATATGTTAATTGATAACTAAATATCAGAATCTTCGTATTTCAATATAAATTCTTATTTAATTTTATTTATTTTTTAGATTGGTGTAGGGAATGGAACAAGAAATGATATGCCCTTTGTTAGAAATTCAGGAATATTTTCATAAATGTGATGAACTGCAGATCACTGCAGAACTTTCAATCCAGAATCCAGAAAAAATTGTGATTCAGTTTTGTTCAAATAAGTGCTACAGGTGGTAGAAGGCATGATCTAGCCCATGGAGTATATAGATTCTTGTATTATAGACTTGGCCTAAAACAGGCGCAGATAAATAAGCGATAACTTTGTTGTGTTCAAATGATCGATAACTTTTTTGCTATGTAATATTTTGTATAAAAAAGCAAATAGTTGAAGCTTCAGGGTATGCTCTAGTCGAATACTTTAAACTACTGTTTACAGTCTTAGAGAATTAATTGATAATTGGAGCTCAGTGCTTATTTAATAAGCATGTAACTGAAAGCAGGAGAAACTTGTGTTTCAGTGCCCCATTACCAGGCTCAACAATAGAGTTGATCTAGCCCCTTCGGCTATCTGTCCGTATGTACATAAATTAATATAAGATAGCCATTAAGATATCAAATCACAGCAAATTGTATTTAAATATGGCCCTTCAAAATATGGTTAGGAATATAGTTTAGAATGTGAGCAACAAGCGGTACAGGGTAACTCCTAGTCGAGCAACCTGGACTGGCGCACTCATAGTGTTTCCTCAAGTTGAAATGAAAGGTTGACTTTAAGAAAATAAATAATTGCACTGGCGAGCTGAGTGAAGGACATGCGATAAAGGACGCAGAGGACATCATTTATAAAAGCTCGGGGCCACAACGAGAGTCAGAGGCGACTGTTCCCCTTCCGCGTCTGGTGAGCAGCTGTTTTGAAATCATTTAATGGTTTAATAAGCAACGCTGTCCAGCTGCTTGACAATTTTATAGGCAGTCAGTCGGGTACTTAAGTTTTCTTAAGAAGTTCGTAAATCCATTTTAAGAGAACTTAACCTACTTTTATTCGATCAATAAAACTGAGACGTTTGGTATTTAGCCTTGTCTCTGAGAGAGACAGTAGATGTAATAGACATATATATCTAAGTTTATTTCTTCCCAAATGCCGTCTGTCGTATGTAAGAATTGAAGTTAAGATAGCTTATCATCCGCTGTAAAGCAATTGCCGCTTGATAAGCAATTTGACTCGGATACGATTTATGTATTTATTCTATATGATAGCTGGCCTGATAAAAAAGCCCTGAGCACAGTGCAATCATTTGACAGTACAAACGCAGCAACAGAGCAACACAGAATGAGTGTATCGAAAGTCTTCAGTCATCGTCTTACTTTCGCGCTGCTGCTCTGGCTTTGCGGAGTTGCAGTTGCGGCGGGCTTTGAAAATGAATCGCATCCGGATAACGGTTCCGTGACATTCTGGCAGCGTGTGAAGGCCAGCTTCGCGGACTTTCAGTGGCAGCAAACGAAACCAGATTTGGAAAGTCCGGAGACTATACAAAAGCGACGCGAAATATGGCAGCGGCTGACTATGGCAAGGATTTTGTAGGAAATGCCGCAGACAAATTACAATGTAAACGACACTTATTAAATTAAGAAATTCTAATAAAGTATAATCGAATGGATGAATGATGTTATTAATTGTCCCGTGTGGGAATGCCCCAATGCCTCTGACACAACGACAAGTTTTCTGGAGACCCCCGAAACTCAAAGAGGACGATCCTTTGAGTCCTGGACAGCTAGTTAAAGTAGACTTCGATCAAAAGCTCTAGATATTTATATATGTTAGATGCATTTATTTGCTAGTTTTGAAAGCACTTGACATTCTTGGCCTGGTCACAATAGCCAGCCCTCTGATCCCAGTAGAGACCCTTGGGGCACGAGGTGAGCACAGGCATGCCCGCAATGCAAATGTAGTACTTGCCACAGTCATCGGGATGTGGCAGATAGCTCTGACGCTCCGAAGGGCACTTCAAGGCACTGTGTGCCACACTCGGTGGTGTTGGTGTCATGCCGTTTGTGGTTGGTTCCCGTTCACTGGGCAAACTGGGCAAGCTGGGCAAAGTGCTGCTGCTGCTACTGCTGCTGCTACTGCTGCTGCTGTTGCTACTACTGTTGCTGGTGTTAACAATATAGCAGACGGTGACTTGGCCAGGCTTAGAGATTGGCTCTTTAGGCGAAGCCTGAGTTGGATCACGGCTCTTGCTATAGCACTCAGCGCTGCTGCTCAGCTGGCACTCGGAGCTCCTGTAGTTCCAGTGCGTGCCACGACCACACTGATGCCGATGCAGATGGCCGTAGGCGCAAATGAAGTACAGCTGGCAATTGGTGGGATGGGGCAGAAAGTAGGCGCCAAAGTGTCGGCATTCAATATGGTCCGGGTCGTAACGCTCCATGGGACTCACGGCCAGGCCAGTTTGCACATCGACGGCCACAAAGACCGGCTGTGGCCTGCCCAGCCACCAATTGTAATCGACATTCGAAAGTCCACCGGGCGTGGAGGTAGTGACTGTGGCAATGCCATCCACCTGAGTGCAGTTCACCTTTTCGGGCACATCGCACACCGATTCAATCGCATCGAAGTGAAGGCCCTGATCGCAGTAGAAGAGCGTAGTAACCGTGTTGCAGGCAAAGTACGCATTGCAATCCAGCGGATGGGGCACCAAATGACCGTCCGCACGTCCGTCACAAATCTGTAATCAACTCCAGTCTCAGCCATTTCCTTAAACTTCGCACAAAACTTCGATACTTACATGGCTCAGGTCTGCGATTTCCTTATGAATCGACTGCTCCTCGGCTTGGGACACCCCGAGACAGATGCCCACAAGCAATGCAAAATAGATACGAATTTCCATGCGACTGTCTTCAGAAACAGTTTCTGACGATTTCACACACTTTCAGAAAAATAATTGATGATTACCTCGTGTGCGAGCCTTATATAAGGCCAGGCTCCCACACCCAGCACCCGCTGGGTGCAGCCATTAAAGAGTATTATGCGTACACTAATTGGAACATGAAAACCTATTTTTGAGCACTTGTCGCGCCAGAGGTTAAATATGTGATAAAAGAAACACCAAATAACAAGAGCCCAAATGTCAAAAGAATGAATCATACGAAAGGTCGAAAGTGTGGCATACTCTTAGGCAGCATCGAGGAGTTGTGAAATTGGATCTTAAAGACTTAAATGTATTTACTCTTTTGATAATTAAATACGCTCATTAGAGATGTAGACGGAGACGTAGACCTTTCCTACGAGTAAACTAAATTATGAATTATGAATGCGCTTCTTATCGCTGAAGTATCGACTCAGTTATAAATTAAGCTGCTTTCGCACTTGGCTAACTAACATAATAATTACTTCAACAATAAATATCATTTTTATTTATGAGCATCCATCAAATTAGTCAATTTTACAGATAGATAGCAACAGGTCGATCATTGATTTGTTTTAGTAGATGATTTAACTGCCTAATGTTGTCTTTAAAGTATTTTTAAACGATTCGCGAATGGTTCTATCTATGCGAAGCGTGCGGTCTTTCCCAATTTATCAATTGTCGAATTGGTTAAGTCACTTGATAAAATGCTGTATTCAATTTCAAAGGCTCTATTTAATGCTCCAAAAATGATGTGCCCCGTGATAGGTCTACAGCTCAACATGTTCTATTTAATAAGCGTGTTGCCTTCAATTCAGTTAGTCGTTGTCTTAGCCCGGTCAAGTCGCTGCTGCTCTTCGATATCACGAAACATGAGTGCGTAGACAATGCAATATTTGAATATCACATATTAAAAGTGCAATAATTCCAAAGTATTTGTGTCTGGAGCAAGGCAGAACTTTCCTTCCAGTATCTGCAATATAAAATGAAAGGAAGACTTTGAGCCTATAATTATTATGAGTCTTATGATTGGATCATTCATATATTTGAAGCTCATGAAAGAATGCCTCTACTCAACCATTAATCTAGGATCGCAAGAGTCGTCCTATGTTCCTATATTATGGCAGGGTGTACCTAATTATGGAGGAGGCAGATCAAACTACTATTTCTCCTATACAATTGAGTGGGATTTCAAAAATCTAACATAAGCTATATACTTTGCAGATAGAAGTGTGCTCCACATATTGATCGGCCTTGGCCTTGTGTTAATACCAAGCGTCGCATCCACTTTTGATCCGGAACTCATATGCAGTTTGGTCATCGATGGCACTAAGATTAACGATCCGCGCGCTTGCAATGCCTGGATACAATGCATCAATGGCCAGCCCGTAAGCGGCACCTGCGACAAGGATCTCTTTTACGACAGAGAAAGTGAGGATTGCGTGCCGTCTGCTGATGTCAAGTGCATCTCTAGCGATCCATGCGCTGCACTGCCAAATGGCTTTGCCGCCGATCCGTACTCTTGTAATGGATACTACTATTGTGCAGATGGTGTGGGTAAACGCGGCACCTGCAATGCCGGACTGAACTTTAATCCGGGCACCGAGTCCTGCATACGTGATTTTCCATGCAACCCCAAAATGGATCCCGACAGCTACTGCAACATTCTGCCGGATGGTGTGTTCATCAAAGACGATCTCAGTTGCAACGGCTGGGAGATGTGCTGGAAAGGCGAAGTGGTTACTGGCACCTGCCCAGGTACTTTCTACTTCAGTGCCCAAAAGGGCGACTGTGACTACCCGCAGAACGTGGAGTGCGCCATTACAGAGCCGCCTCTGTTGACAGCAGAGCCGGGTGTTTGCCCCCAGGCCGGCAGCTTCATCTCCGACGACAGCAGCTGTAATGGCTATTATTATTGCAGCGAGAGTACCGATGGTCAAATGGTGCTACAGCATGGCGACTGCGACGATGGTCGCTTCTTCACGGCCCGGTCTGGTGGCGCCTGCGTGCCCCGATCGGATATCAAGTGCGAGTACAACCGATGCGTTGGCCTTGGCTATACGAACATAGCGTTGGCTAACGAATCAAATGATGGATGCACGGGCTATGCCATTTGTCAAGACGGCGTCAAAATTGGCGAGGGCACCTGCCCCAGCGGCGATTACTTCGATGAACAAACTCAGCGCTGCACAAACCAGATCATATCTTATGCAGCCTGCGCCACACCTACCCAATCAACACAACACATGATGGATGACGATACAACAACAGCCACATAAGAGGCACGGGAGGAATGGTGTGTCCCTATACCATATCATAAAGCAACACCCAACATTCTGACAATCAATTTCATAAAAATACACTCATTTATTTACTTACTCACCATGGACTTTGATTAGTTTATTTCTTGTTCACAAATCGTGTGTGCCCCAAAGACAATGTATACAATACCAATGTGATAAGGTTAAATATGTATATGATTTACACATATATATATATTTATATATTTTTAATAAACACCTTGATAAGCAATTCCGGAAAGCTCTTTGTATACACGTTTGACCATTATCTTAGTTTCATGGATCTGGAAAAGAATTTGACTTGGTTCAGACTTGAAAGGCTTAAAGTATATTTAAAGAGTATACAACAGAGAGGGGACGAGAAATGGTATAATTTTTTTAATATATAAAGATTTAGAAATACTCATTAATCTAACATCTGAAGTTTATTTTTAGAAGCTCGCTCAATATAATAAAGGCCTGTAGCTTATAGGAACGGTATATTCTTAGTCGTATACATTCAAGTCAAGCACAGTTTCATTGTTATAGCAGGATCTCATTGCAAATGGGTATTCAGTGTCTAATGGTGTTGGAAAAACTTATATAACAGGCAGAGGAAGGCGTGGTAGACTCCATGAATTCTATATACTTTTGATCTGGACGACAAGCTGAGTCGATCGAGTCACATCCCTAATAGAAGCTTGCAATTATTTATGTATATTTCTTTATATTTTTAAGCAAATCATGAAAACCATTAAAGCTGGAATATGGACAAGTTTATTATAAAACGCATTTAAGCCAAAAGTTTTTCACATTGTTAAAACTCTTATGCTATAGAGACGCCTGGTATGATTGTAAAATGGTCGCAGAGTCGGGGTATTTCCTAGTCAGACAGTCCCGACTAGAGCACTTTTACTTGTTAGAACATATGTAATGAATAAATTCAGAGAAGCAGCATAGTTGTTCAACTTGTTCGAATTGCAATTAGTTTTGTTTGAACCGCTAATAGAATTGTACATCTGATGAACGGGGCCAATAATATTTTAGAGTTCCCTTAAATATGAGAAATTTGGCTGGTATCTGAGATATTTCGGCAGTTTGTTTTCTCACCTCACCTTGTCGTTTATCGGTACGGCACAGGTACAGTGACTCTTACTACCAGTAAGTTGGTACAAGCACCTGCATATTATCAGCGCTCGTCAGTATTAATTAGCAGGCATAAGGTATGTGTTGTACATGCCATTCGAATTCGTCGAAAATATCGCATATATTTTTGACAGTCTGATAACGCATTTTCTATACTGAACCTTTTTTGAAAATAGTTTCAGTTCTAATGGGAACTGGTCTTTGTACTTGTTATTCAACATGAATATTCCAATATATATATATATATATATATATATATATATATATATATATATATATATATATATATATATATATATATATTTATATATAAATATTTTTTTTTTTTTTTTTTAAACAAAACGAAAAGAATATGCAATGCTTCTTGACTTCCACCAAATTGAGGCCTGATTTAATTAGATACAATTACAATTATATTTTGAAGGCGGATCGCGCTTCGCGGTTTCGGGTTTTCTTCAGGGCTGGCAGGCGACATAGTTGTGGTTAGTGGGAGTGCATCCCTGGCTGCGTTCGTCAAAGAAATATTCGGAGGGGCAGTGGCCAATGCTTTCAGTGACTCCGTCCACGCAGCGACCATAGGATTGACAGTTGCCCAATACATTGACGTAGGTCAGTGTGGACCCAGCGCAACGATCCAGCAGACAGCGAACATTAAGACGATCGCGGCAGGAGAGCTTCTCGTAGTCGAAGTACGTACCCAGAGGGCAACGCAGATGTTGGGGATTTGTGTCGTGCTTGCCTTTAACAGGAGCCCTACAGATGTAGTAATGGTTGCAAGACTCATCGTCCGCATAATAGCCCTGACGCGCTGTTGTCCCGTTAACCAGACAGAAGGTATTCTCTGGCGGTGGTAGTGCTGCATTGCCATAGCAGGTGACATTGGCTGCGGCTACGCACCTGCCAAGGGAAACATCATACGCCTTTTGGTCGGCACATTCGCGCTCATAGAGCACGTCGTCTATGCAGACATAATACTTGTGGCAATGCTCCTCATGGGCTAGACTAGTATTGTTAGATAAGGAGCGGCATACAGGCGATTTGGTCTTTACGCCGCTTTGCGGGCAGGTGTATTGGGTGGAATAGACACAAGAACGTGATTGTGGATTGAAGATCAGTTCGTTAGGGCAGTTGGCCTTGACCTCGCGATGCCCTTTGCACAGTAGATAGCCTTGGCAATTGTAGCTTGTGGAATCTGGCAGGAAAGTGCCATCCTTCTCATTGGCACAGACATTGACAATGGTGTTATTGGACGCTGCAGTCGTGTCGTAAGGGCATTCGACATTTTCAGCCATGGTACAACGGCCCCTATCCTTGTTATAGCTCAGTCCGGTGGCGCAGGTGCCCTCCTCTATTGTGGTGGTATGACTCGGGCAGTGTACCCAATAGTTGCACGTATTTGGCCGAAGGAAGCTGGTATCCAAGGGCAGCAAGTCGCACATCTCAGTCATCGAGAGATACTCAAAATCGTCTATTTTGCTGCCAGTGGCCAGGGCTACCACGGTAAGCACAAGCAGGGACAGGACTCCTCTAGCTACAATTAACGGCGTTAGCAATATGGAACAGTGTTAACCAGCGACGCAGAGTTACCTTGCTTCATGCTGTAAATGGTTATCGATTAATTATTGGTGATAGTTGTCGGTATCCTTAAATTGATGCGATCACTAGCTCCGCGTGCAGCTCAGCAACTTGACTGATGCGCCAGCACCGGTCGGCACCTTCTTAAATATGCAAAGTTTCATTATTTCATTCATTTCTGTTTAGCGAAAAAATCAATTTTGAAAATGCACAGGCCCAAGGAAGACAATGTCGATGTCTCTGCCTGTCTCTGATATCAGATAGCAATGTGGGCGATAGCAGTCGCATCTGATAGCGCACAGCATGTAAATTACACGGCAATAACATGGCCAATAGCCGAATCGGCGGTTCGATGCGTTGCTGTTTCGGTGGCACCATGCAAAACACCTCAATCGTGGCTGATGGGGCAATTGGAGGCGTCGAGGCGGGCGGCGAGCATTAGTGTGAATGCCTCACTGAATTTAATGAAAACCTTCACACAATAGTCAAAGTATTAAATCATTGAGTGACTTTTTGCTTGATGAGACGACTGGAATATTGAGAAACCGTTATATATGCTCGAGACATGGGCCTTTTAAATGACTCGTCTTTGAAGAACTCATTTTATCTACTCGTATCTATCGAACTCTTTCAACTCCATTCATTAGGAATGAAACAAAGTAGATGAAATTGATAATTCTTCCCAATTGAATATAAAAATATTTAGATCAGATTGCTAGACTTACTGATTTTATTTATATGCAATTGACTTTAGTAATATTTGAATACGAACATATATTTAAGGCAACAGTTGTAAAGTTTGTTTCGTCCATTTTGTCTGCACTTGCAATTACGTTTGTTTTACCATTATTAATTCCCATCATCATCACCACAAATGGGGTACGTTGGTTTCTTCTGCACACATACCCCGTTTATCTCATCAAAGTAGCTATAGGGCGCCTTACAGTAGGCTTTGTCACCACTCGGACAATATCTGTATTCCTGGCAATTCGTACCAGCAACAGCTGCGTAAGTCAAATTTGTATTCGCACAGCGGTCGTGCTCACAAACTAAACTAGCGGGAGAAACGCATGTTTGATTCTCACTCGAAAATTCCAAGCCGAACGGACACGAGCCCCAAATACCCTGACTTTCTGATTTGCAGTAGTAAAATCCATAACAAGTCTGACCATCAGATTGAAATTTTTCGGCTGTGCATGTGCTTATCGTAGACGGTGGAAGAGCGGAGTTACCATCGCCGTTGTTGTTGTTGTTATTACCGTTGTCAGTGTCGGTACATGGATTAGTTTTTTGACAGACCCCAATTGCAGCGTTATAATATAGATCCGTTGGACAAGAACCCCAAACACCATACCCATTAATGCAATGCAGATATTGGCCACAATTCTGCGGATCACCAACAAAGATATTGTTCGGCATGAAACGACAGATGGAATCTTGTGCACACGATGGGCCCCACACGCATGTGTTATTGTTGGCGGCATATGTTTGACCAGTTGGGCATGATACCGTCTGGGATTGTCCATTGCCAAAGCAATACGCATATTTGGTGCAATCTGTGGGATCTGCCACGAATCCAGTTGTCTTCAGTGCGCTGCATGTCTTCTGTACGCTAGTGGAGCACGCCGTGGTGGAGGCTGGTTGGCAAGTCTGCGACTTTGATTCGTAGACGAGATTTGCACCACAGGTACCATAGCCCACAAGCTGCTGAGCCTTGCAGTAGCCCCAGCTGGTGCAATCGGAGGGATTGCCAATATATCCATTGCCAGACCATTGGGCGCACATGTCCTGCATCGTATATCCAGCTGACTGGCTGGCCAGCATGAGGCAGGCGGCCGCCAAAACGATTCCCTTCGAGTGGAATGCTGTAAAAATGAAAACATTTTGATCAATTCCAAATCCTTGGTGGTATCCACCTAAGTATCACAGGCCTACCAGTCATTGCGATCGTGTAGTAGGTGACTTATTAGATAGCCGTGTATGCTGCAGGAGCATACGAACTCAATACTAAGCCCACCAATAGCATGATATGCTTTATATAGAGAGCCAAGCCTGCCTGCGCCACCTAATACCCTATCTGGGTGCCTTTAATTAAAACTGTTCGCACTTTTGCAGATAAGCTTACCCACGACCGAAACACATTGAAAAATATCATAATTAAAATGCGATAATGCTTTGTCTCACCTAACATTTTCTTAATTTTTCTTTTTTCTCTATTCAGCGTTCACAGACAACTGGAAACCTATGGGGTTGCGATTTCAACGGACCGGCCTTATATGCGAACAGTCGCCATCTAGATACATAGGCCAGCCGAACGTAATGGAGCTATTATCGCGATTTATTATCTTCAAGTGCCGTCCGGATTATCAATTTCTTGTGGACAACTATTTATGTGTGTAATTATTTTTTAATTCACTGACATTCCAATTATTGATCGCCGACTCCTGCTAACTGCGTTACTGCTCAACTAATCGTATCGACCCTGTCAGCATGTCGTTCCCTATCATTGACAACACTTATGAACAATACCATTTCCGCTCAATTCTTTTCTACGAAATCTATCTTCTTAAAGGGATTGTTGTCTTTTGTACTTTTGTTCGTATTTCCAAATGGATCGTGTCCATTCAAATGCATACTTTTAGGAGAGTATTTCCAACATATGTCGAAGCTTTCAGTTAGTTAGTTAGACGGCATTATTCTCAGTGCCGATTTAAAAGTTGTCAGCTCAAAAGTTTAGAATATATCATTTTTTCATCAAGAGGATTATGTATGAAAATTTAGGTAGATTATTAGTGGAAGTCCACAGTAATTTAGGTGTATTCCATATTTCAAGTCTGTAGCATCCGATTTGCCACACACCTAGTAAGAGTAGACATATACTTCGGCAACCTGAAGTGGGTTAAGATCCCCTAATTCCCATGCCCATGCCAAGAGGTGGATGATACAGTCTTACCTGGTTTGCGTAGATATGCGCCATATCTTTTTCATCATGAATTGTTCCCAATTCCCAGCCTCAGCCACATTAACTAAAGACGTTTTTTTGACATATCTGATTTATTAATTGCCAATTTGCCACGCAACTGGTGGGCGTATGGGGAAATTCTTAACTTTATCAGACAAGGATACTCATGAGTATATATTGCAAATTTCCCATCTCTAGAATATATCGTATAATGGATAATTTGAAACATACTCTTAGGCATCAATTTGTTAGGCACTTTCAGTCAGCAAAATTGCATATTTTCCGCGGCATGAACATATTTGTTGCATACTTTGATGAGCCTAAGACATCCGTAACTTCGTTTAATGATAGCTGAACTATTGATAAACACGTTATTATTATCGTGATTATCTGCATGTATGTTCCAGGGAAATTTCTTTTACAAAAGTGATTGGCTGGACTGAGCTTTGGTAGGAATTAAATAGCCTTTCATGTTATCCAAATATCGTATCTGATATTAAGTTACTTATTAGCCTCATTCCCATCCGTTCATATTATAGTATCTTTCTAAGCAATTCTTATTGAGAACGTATGCCTATAGAATTATAATGCTGGTCATACTCAAAGAAATCTTTGAAAAATTAAGTCTAGCTCTTCATTACTTGATTTCATAAAATTTTTTCGGCTATGTAATTGAAACCTTTGGAGAATGTTATATATAAATTGTCAAAATAAAAACTGTCCCATTGTAAAGGGTATGTTTTATAAGAACACTTTTAACAAGCAGTGTTGTATATACTTTTTTTTTAATACTAGTAACATTACAGGTAAAAAATTGATATATTTCTCCGTCTTACGCACATATTTTATATATATTTCAATACAGTTAATGCCGTTTTGCAATCAGTTTATCAATGAAGGATTTATGGGCCTAAAACAATTTTTTTATTTTTGTATGGTTGCTTATTATCTATCTATTGGACATATATCGCATATTCAACGATTTTGTTTTGTTGAAATTCTTGAAAGCAAAATGTCTTAGCTTTAATATATAAAAGTCCATATAAAAAACTTTATATTTGTTAGCGCCGCAATCCGAAATAGCTGCACATTTTTAGCAAAACACAGATAAGATTTGAGCCGCTGAAAACATATACCCCTAATTTGTTGCAGAATCAGTTATCAGGTAGCAGGTATCAGTTACCAGGTATCAGCGACACGCCGTCCCCTATATAAATTCTCTCCAAGCACCAACTCCGATTTAGTCAAAGGCAATCCGTTTGAACATCAACATCAAAAGCATAATTACGAAAGGTATTTTCAATCAATCAATCGAAAATGCAAGGTGAGCTAAAAATATATGAAATTTACAATTAGCAGGTGCTTCGTACCCCGCACTGCTAGTGTAGTTTAAGTGAATATCACCAAATGCGAATCTTCCGTTTGTTATTGCTTTGCAGCGTCATTGAGATTTTGTATTGGAGTTATCCTGCTTGCTCTGTGTCTACCTCAGCCTTTGCAGGCGCTGAATAATTATGAGGACATGTGTCGGCTGTTTAAGAATGGCATCCAAATCCGGAAGCCTGCCACCTGCAATGAGTACATTGAATGCATAAATGGCGAGGGCACCATGCGCACATGCGCTGATTCCCTGGTGTTTGAGGCCAGCTCACAGGAGTGCGTGAAAGCTACGGCTAGTAACAGCGTGCACTGTGGCAACCTGTGCGAGGGCTTGGATGGCAAATGGGTGGCTGATCCAACAAACTGCCAGAATTATCTCTACTGCAGAAATGGCGAGGCCCTGGCTGGCCACTGCGAGGGCAACCAACACTTTAATGAAGCCCTGCAGTCGTGCGAGCATGAAGATGACTCGATTTGCGTTGATGTTGCCAATATATGCGAGCTGTTGCCGGACAAAACAAAGTTCCGGCAAGAGGATGATTGCAACGAATACTATGAGTGCAAAAGTGGAACGCACACACTCAAGACCTGCAGCTCCACGCAATACTTTGACGTGGAGAGCGGTTCCTGTAAGGCTAAGAACCTAGTAGAGTGCAGTTCGCATTCCAAGAAGGACGTATGTTTGTTGAAAACTAAACCGTTGAAAGGTTTCCAACCGGACGGTGCCACTTGCCGTGGATATTTTTATTGCGGTGACTATGGTACTGTTCATGATATTGATCCTACGTGGGGCCAGTGTCCAGAGGGTCTTTTCTACGACGATATTAATAAAACATGCGCCATTCCCACTTCTGTGGTGTGCACACACAACCGTTGTGAAGGCCGTGGGACGATGTTAGTGGCCAGCAGCAGCAACGATTGCCACAACTATATTCATTGTGTCGATGGTGTCGAAGTCGAGGAGAAAACTTGTCACTGGGATTACTTTTTCAATGAGAAAGTGCAAGGCTGCACTAAAGAGATTATTTACGACGTCTGCTGTGACGGACGTGACTAAATAATGTATGCATGTGTCAACATAAATGGGTATACACATAGACAGAAGCTATGTATTTTGTAAGAAATTTAAAATTTCTTTTGTAATATGAAACATTATTTTAATTAATCCACAATAAACCAAATTGATTATTCACTCTTAATCAATTTTCAGGATTTTGCGAACGGCTGCATATAAATGTTCCGTTATATTTAAAATGCAAAAGTAATCGCAAAATATACTTGGTATCGATAGACAAAGTTATATGTATTTTACAGCACTGATCTAATTTTATATGTTACTCAGCTGAGCATTTTCAGTTAAAAGTACGCCTTTTTAAGTAGAAGACCAATTAATATGGAAATGTAAAAAAATGATTTTTATATTGCTTACCTTGACTGTTATGCTGCATTAAACAACTGGTCTGAACTGTTACTCTGGTGAATGTTATGATTCGTGCCACTGTTAAGTTTCGTGTTAAACGCTGTTATTTGCAGTACAGTATAACATTCATTGTACACGATAAAAGCCGTCGCATATCGAAAGATTTGTTTTTGCAATGCTTAAAAAACATTTTAAGTTCTAAATTAAAGTAACAGTTAGCGTGCAAGTGGACCCACCGACATTGAATGCCGGCAAATAAATTTAAGATGTGTAAAATAAATTCGTGCTAAGCTACTATATATAAATTTTTTTTCGGCTTGAGTTTTGATTTTGTATTACCATAAAATGTAAGTTTTCAAATAAGGAAGCGACTCGCGTTTCGATTTGTAGCCCAGTTTTGCTCTAATTTCATGAACAGTGCTGGCATGAAGCCTACTCAGTCCGGTGGTAGTGGTACCAGTGCCGGGAAAATGGGTGAACCCATCGAGTATGTTACCCTTATTAGCGATGACTCCGACGGAGAGCCGTCCCCCAAACGAAATAATTCTGTGGGTGGTAGCCAAGCCGCTAGCCAAACTAAGGCAAAATTTGACGACGATTCCAATGACACACCTGCCACCAGTGACGAGCGACGCACCAGCAGGCGTAACAAGCCCAAGGTCGACTACACAAATAAACCGGCAACTGTGAGTGCAGAAAATACAACCTATGACAAATGTAGCTCGGGTTCTTCGGGTAGCAGCACTGGCCCATCAGATAAACGTAGTCAAGCTCAGGCGGAACAACGTGCCCGCAAGTCGGAGACTGCAGTTAATCAAAGCGGAGGCAGTGGAACACGCAACGCTTTGTCAAAGGATACGAATGGAACCAATGGCGAAGCACGTGACAATAGCACACCCACGGTACTCTCAGGCCAGGAAGGTGCCGTCTTTCAGTCGCGCCTGCCCTTTAGCAAAATGACACCCAACGAGGAGGCGTGCTTTCCTGACATAAGCTGCTCAGGTATACTCGGGCATCGAGTTTTTCTTAACATACGCAACAGTTTGCTGCACATGTGGGTAGATAATCCCAAGACGCAGTTGACTTTTGACAGTGCGCTCAAAAGACTGCCGCCGCCCTTCGACAGTGACCCGAATTTGGTGAGACGAGTGCATTCGTTCCTGGAGCGGCACGGCTTCATCAATTTTGGCATTTTTAAGCGGCTATCGCCAATACCCAGTAAAAAGCTTGGCAAGGTAATAGTAATTGGCGCAGGAATTTCTGGACTGGCCGTAGGGCAACAGTTGCAACAATTTGGCATGGATGTCATTGTGCTGGAAGCAAGAGATCGAGTTGGCGGCCGCATTGCCACCTTTCGCAAAAATAGTTACATTGCCGATCTCGGCGCCATGGTGGTCACGGGCGTCTACGGTAATCCCATGACCATTCTGAGCAAACAGATTGGCATGGATCTTGTGCCAATCCAGCAGACATGTCCGTTGTACGGTCCCGATGGAAAACCGGTGCCAAAAGAAAAAGATGACGTCATCGAGCGTGAGTTCAATCGCCTACTTGAGTCGGCAAGCTATTTGTCGCATCGCCTGGACTTTAATTACGCCGGTAACAACCCAGTTTCATTAGGCGATGCTCTTGAGTGGATCATTAATATGCAAGATAAAGCTGTGCAAGAGAAGCGTGCTGCCCATATGCACGAGATTATTGCCGCACAAACCAAAATCATTGAACATCGAAAGCGGCTAAAGGCAACATTGCAGAAGATTGCTACGCTTAAAGCTGAACTTCAAAGTTTAGTTAGACAACGGCAGCCCAGAAGCGCACACAATGAAAATAGTTATGCATCCCAGGAGTACACGATTCGCACCACGCAAATTAAGCTGGAGGACATGATCAATGCCGAAGCGGAGCAACGCATTGAGGGCCACAAAATGGACCTCAAACTACAAGAGATAGAACAAAACGGACCGAGGTTAGCATGAAACTAAATATAGATGTATAACTGTATGTTCTTTAATATTTGATTTACACAGCCAGGTATATCTATCCTCACGGGATCGCCTCATACTTGACTGGCATTTTGCCAATCTCGAGTTTGCTAATGCCACCCGCCTGGACAACTTGTCGCTAAAGCATTGGGACCAGGACGATGACTTTGAGTTCATTGGACATCACACGACAGTGCGTAATGGCTATTCCTGTGTACCTGTTGCGCTTACCGAGAACATAGACATACGTCTAAACAGTGCGGTAAAGGAAATAAAGTACACCAACAAAGGAGTAGAGATTGTGGCTGAAAATCTAAAAACTTCTAACTCGCTTATGACGTACAAAGCCGACTTGGCTGTCTGTACGCTTACGCTGGGTGTCTTAAAGGTAGCCGTCACACAGGAAGAATCACAGCATGCCAACACAGTTAAATTCGATCCCCCGCTGCCAGACTGGAAACAGCAAGCGATACGTCGGTTGGGATTTGGTAATCTCAACAAGGTAGTACTATGCTTCGATCGTATATTCTGGGATCCCAATGCTAATCTCTTTGGCCATGTGGGAAGTACGACAGCCAGTCGTGGTAAGTAGCAGACTTGTTCTTCATTTCATTAAAAAAAATATTTATATATTATCTTTATTAGGCGAAATGTTTCTTTTCTGGAGCATCAGCTCGTCACCCGTTTTGCTGGCCCTGGTCGCTGGCATGGCTGCCAATATTGTAGAGAGCGTAACAGATGACATCATTATCGGACGCTGTATGTCTGTGCTGAAGAACATCTTTGGCAATACTTCTGTGCCACAGCCCAAAGAAACGGTCGTCACTCGCTGGCGCAGCGATCAGTGGGCCCGTGGTTCATATAGTTATGTCTCTGTGGGTTCTTCTGGCAGCGACTATGATCTTCTCGCCGCACCGGTCATCCCGCCTACAAGTTGTGATCCACATTTCAGCAAAGACGCCGAAGAACTGCCACGGCTTTTCTTTGCCGGCGAGCACACAATTCGTAACTATCCGGCAACTGTTCACGGCGCGTATTTAAGTGGGCTGCGTGAGGCTGGGCGCATTGCTGATTATTATTTAGGCTATCCGGAAGGTACACCACCGGACATTGGCTACTCAGTCACAGAAGCTGCTAATTCGGTTTCAGTGGGCAATGTGGTAAAGCTGCGTGATTTGTCCCCACATCTATCCGATTCGCCCGTGTCCAAAAAGTCTGAGGAGAATTCAAACATTGCCGATTCAACAGATGTGCAGTAATTTTTGTATTTTTTTATTTAACGTTGAGCAACAACCGAAGACCCATTTTAGAAATATAGATAAGTCAAATATATATATATGTAAATGTATGCAATTGTGGTTTTTATGTTTTTTTTCTATCGACTTAAGCTATTAACATAAAACTAGTTAAATTAGTTCGAATTTGCTGACGCTCATTCATTTTGCTTTTCCGAATCCGTTTTGTAACTGACGATAGTAGCGTGCACCTTAAGATAATCATTCGTACATTTTAATTAGTTTCATCAAGGTTTATCATAATCTGTTTTTGCGTTGGGATAAACTGGCGATAGCCAATGCCAACTGCATCAAGCATTCGCCTTGCAGCTCGATAAATAAGCTTATCCCCATACTTGTCAGATAAATAATATATTTCTCGGATACCCGACTGTATAATTAATTTTGTGCACTCATTACAGGGGAAGAGAGTTGTATAAAGACGAGTACCATCCAGTCGCGTGCCATTGCTGTTGAGTATTGCGTTGGCTTCTGCGTGTACCACATACATATTTTTATTTTCCAACGATTTTTTATCTGGGCCCTTTGACCATGGAAACTCATCGTCGCTACAGTTTCTTGGGAAGCCATTGTAACCAATAGCTACAATCCGATTATGATTATCCACAACGCAAGCACCAACCTGCGTTGAGGGATCCTTACTTCGTTTCGATGAAAGTATGGCGGTGGCCATGAAGTAATCATCCCACTGAAGATAATCTGTTCGTTTTCCACTGTAAGTCGAAGTCGAGCTCTCAATACTCTCTATCTCATTCTCGTTTCCGCTGAGTTTCTGCAGCTTAGCCATGACACTAAAAAGAAACATAAAAATAAATAATTACATTGCATTTCTTATATGTCGACTTATTACTTATGGCTAAAATAAACAATTGTGCATATATCTATATGATTTCATTTTTATTTATTTTCAATATCATATAACACTTCAGAGGCAAAATAAACGTATGTAATACATATTTAATATAATTGGAATTTACAAAAAATACTTTGTATCAGAATCTAAATAGTCAAATCGAAATGTTTGAGTAGGTGCATTAATAGGGTTATTTATTTTTATATATTAAGCTATTTTCTGTACTTGTATGGGGTTTTGCTTCAGATGTAGGTAAATTGACCGCATACGCGAGACGTCTTTTCCAGATTTATTGACCTTAGGATTAAAATCGCACAGCTTGGCAATGCGCTCCCATTCGGTTCCAGGCTCGACTGCTCCATTCTCTAATGAAGCGGCTTGAACCTCAGCGTTGCGAGACGATAATTTTGTTTTGGAAATAGATTCTTCGATTTGGCGGAGCCAGTCATCCAGTTCCTTCTTGGATTGTTGGCGTAGTTCCTCTTTTTTACGCTCCTCTTCAATATCCTTCTCCTCTAGACGCTGCTTCTGATCCTCTCGCCATTTTCGTATTTTCTCGGGTTCTTCACGCGACGGTGGAGGTCCTGAGATACCAACAGGTTCGTTCGACTCGCTACCGATAACCTCGAAGCTACCAGTCGATGATTCGAGACCACCTCCCACATTGGCAGAAAGTTCACTGCCCAGTTCAGCCCCAGTGCTAACTAAGCCGCCCAGCAGTCCATCATCGGTTGCAGGCGCTGCAACTGCATTTGTGGCAGATCCACCAGTTATTTCAGCTTCAAGGTCTCCAAGAACCGATTGCTCGCGTGCCAAAAACTCTGCCGCTGGATCAACTTCCTCTTTAGCAGCAAAATCATCACCGAAATCCATGTCCATTGTACTCTACAAGAAAATTATTACAGTTAATGGGCGTATTTTCACTTACACGTAGAAATGTGTAAATAAAGTAAATGCAATAACTGCTTTCATATATTAACATAACTTACCTTTTTGATTATTTATTATTATTTAAGAAGTGATGATTTACCTGTTTAGTTTTTATTTAGTATGTATTCACAAGCAATATGTATAAAATACGTATTATCTACAGGTTTTTTTTTGTAAAAAAATCTTCGTTGTGAGTAACCTGACAGTCACTAATAGAGATGATAAGTTATCGATAATATACAATTTAAAGTCAATATCGAGTTGATTAATTTTAATTTCAGTTAATATACATAATTTTTTATATACTTTAAAATACGTCAGTAATGACTATAAAAAATGTATATTCCGTCTGGAATGGTAGTAACTTTATTAATATTGGAGTTGTAAAGATAATTCCTCTGTGTGGGCATTTGATATTACACAAATCAACGATTAAAAATTTCGCATTCTTTAGAAAGGGTTACAGAAATAAATTAAGGATTTTCTGAATAAAAGTATGTGTTCATCAAATGGATATGTTATTTGATAAATTAAAATTCACCGGCGGGAAACGTTTTGACATTTTATTTCATCAGTGGTGTATAAAAATATCACATTTTACAACACTTGGCATCATGAAATAAATGGACCTAAGTGCATGTTTACATACATAAGTATTGTATTTACGCACGTTTTTACTTATGTATGTACAAGGTTTGTATATAAGATTGCAAATCATTCGTTCAAACTGTAAGCGAAACTTACCAAGCAAATAAAACAGATATTCGCCTATTTAAAACAAAATTACAAACGAAACTTTAACGCTCAGGGTAACATAAGCACACGACTTTCATCGAACTGATTCACGTGTGCATCGTTCAAATGAACAATAGTTCATTTGTACTTGAGCGGCCATTTTGGAGATTGTTTCACCCACAAAAAAGTTATGCAGCCCAATTGTAGTAGTTTACAAATAAAATTTACTTAAAATTGTAACGCAAATAGACAAGTGCATAATCATAGCTAAAAATAAAGATGATCCATCGCAGTGTGAAAGCAACGAAGCAGTAAAACGGCCAAGTTACTTTGCTAGTGACTATCTCTCAACGCACGCACACATGTATGTATGTACTTGCATACATATACTTTAAGCATACATACGTACATAAGTATGTATATGTTAAAAGTGGTCAAAGGAAATATCAACTGATGCACAAACTTACACGCATACACATGTATGTAAATGCCTAAAAAACTTTTTTGACTAATTTGAAAAAAACATGTAAAAATAAAAAAGTGTGCCTTCCAAAACACGCCAAGTTGTGCGCGGCATAATTTATCATTGTATGTATGTGTGTATATGTATAAATATCAAAGTATCTGCGAAAAATGCACTTGTCGCTAGGGCTGCATAAAACGAAACTGTATTGATGTACTCATTTAAGAATATTGTCAAATGAAATTTAAATTAAAAAAGCATTAAATCGGTGTTTGAGCCAAGTGTAATGTAATTTAATACGAAAAAAACGAATACGAATTTATACATGTACATATGCGTGTATGTATGTATGCATGTCTCGATTTGGTGTCGAGCAAAGCAGACCGTGTCTGTACTTGTAGCCCTGGAATCTGCAATTGATGTTTATGCCATACTGAAAATACAAAATTAACCCAAAACAAAATACCTGCTTCCAGCTCAAGCACACCACATGGATCCCAACTCCAGCCCCTGGTCTTACGCTTACAATCGCATCGTACCCGGTTCCACAGGCAGCACGGGAAGCACAGCGGAGGAATTTCAGCATCCACATTTAGCGACAATTACAGCGGCAAGCCTTGCTAGCTTCAATGCGGCTGCAGCGAGCGGCGGCAGTTTTGTGCCACCATCGCCCATCGGTAGCTACAATCCAGTATTCCAGCAGATTTATCACCATGCAGCTGCAGCGAGCGTACAGCCAAAGCCGGCGCATTATGCTTCATCGACGGTTAACACACCGCACCGGCAGCTGCAACAACTGCAGTTGCCCACCACGTTGGACAAGCAGCTTAGCTCCTTTCAAAACCAAGCAGCGGTGGCGGCTGTCTCCTCTGCAGCTGCAGCCGCCGCTGCAGTTAATAATGTTGCCTCTAACTACTACGGTGAGAACTCATCATCCAGCGGCGCTTCGCCGTCACCCACCACGGTGGCTTTAACATCAACATCGCTGACGTGGAACACGCCCAACATGATATCCAACACGTTCCTTGCCATGCAGCAGCAACAGCAGCAGGCGCAACAGCAACAACAGCAGCAACAGCAAGCTCAACAGCAACTGAACCTAGTGGCCGATAAAGTGGTGAGTATAACATCTAATTCTTGCAACAATATTTAACACAGAGTTGCAGATGGCCATGGCCGGGGAGGAGGGGCTCAAAGGGCTCAGTATTTGTGTTGGTATCCCTCCCGTAAGCATTATCAATACATACTAATCGGTGGTATTTCTTTTTATATCTCCATGAATATGGACAGGCTTTGCACTTTAACTTTAACATAAAACATTTCCAATTCCTTAAGCAAATAATTGAAAAATGACCAAATCAATTGAATAGGCATTTATTGATAGTATATTCACAGCAACATTGAATTTCCATATTAAATACTGTTTAATATACCTTTAAAGCCAAGCGTTTCCTAAAAATCAGTTAGTTAACGTATATAGTTTTTCAATTTTAATGCGAGGGGTATTCCATGTTGTGGTATCTGCTGGGACCCTTTTGATGCTCCTCTTATATCCAATTACTAACTCTGCTTAGACTATGCCTCAACTACTTACGCCTTTAACTGTCTATGTATGTAATGTACTGTATATATATGTAACAAAATCCGAACAAAAACAATTTCCGTTTCCATCAAATTTATGTACAAAAAAATCAACCAACTACCAACCAAACTTCCACGGCAATAACTACAACGAATCTGTAGCAAATCAAACAAGAAAACACACAACAAACCAAGGCGCATCTCAAAGCGTACAACGATCTAATTTACTTCACCCAATTGCAACAACAACAACAGCAGCAGCAGCAACAACAGCAGCAGCAGCAGCAAGACCAATTGCAACATGAGATTGCCGAGGCAGAAACGTATTATACCATAGATGGGCAAAAACTGAAACTGGCTCGGAAGGATCCGCAAACGATTCACATTGAACAGCAGAATGTTAGCCCGGCCTATGCAGCGCAGTATGCGAGTCCTGCATTGAGCTCTGCGGACGGATCACCTATCACGAATTTACACGCGGTCGATGTCGGTGGATCACCACAGGTGATTGTCTATAAGACAGCAACGGCCCCGGTGGCAGTGTCGGTAGCGGCGACTGGTTCGCCAGTATCGCGACGCACCGTAATGAACGTGGCAGGCGCGGGTTCGTCTGCAGCACCAACAACGGTGGCCTACTCATCTGTGATACAAAGCACACTGCAACAACAGCACCTGCAGCAGCAGCAACAGCAACAACAGCAGCAGCAACAACAGCAACAACAACAGCAGCAGCAGCATTGCTGGACAAAGTCTGAGGATGGGCAGGAGGAGATTAAAAGTGTATTGCAATTGCATGTCAAGCAAGAGCATCGGCAGCTGGACTATGCTAATGATGCGACTGGCGGTACAGATACCGGCGAGAATCTCGTGTTTAACCTTCCACCAGGTCTTGAGATAAAGCAAACGTTTTATCAACCAGCGGTCGTTGATGTAGATTCGTCCGCGTCCGTGTCCTTACAACAGGCACAGGCGCAGGCTGTAGCCCAGGAGCATCTGCTGCAACAACAGCAGCAGAGTTCCAGCTCGCCGCAAGGCAGGCGACAGCACGTTGTGGCTAATATGATATTGTCACCAGGGACTTCGAGCAGCTTAGCGTCACAGATTCAAACAGTGCCAAAGGTTTGTATTTCATTTGTATGTATTTATTTTTGGATTAATTTTTCGTTTGTTTTCTTGTTTTTAAATTTGTTGTGCTTTGTTATGCTTTGTTATTATTTTGGTGTTTTGATTTTGCGTTTAGTTTACTTAACGGCTGTTATACAAATCTGTAATCGATTTCGAAAGCAGAACTAGTTCATTATCGAACCGCTTCTAGCCATTTGTATAACAACGTACTTATTTCAATGATGAATGTGTACATACATCTATATATATTATTGTATATATGAATGGAAACTTTTCTATTAGCATTTGTTTTGTCTGTGAATTTATGCAAAGCATTTATGTTAACTTATGTTTTCTTCACCTTGTGGCGGTGCGAAGAAATTCTGTTATCTATTTTATACTGTTATTGTTTACATTTTGGTGGCGGTATTTTGAACTCATTTGATTATGAACTTTTTGTTATTGCTTTCTGTTTGTTTTTGTTTTTTTTTTTTTTTATATATATAAATACATACGTACGTTCTGTCAAAACTAATAAATTATAGCAAATATAGCTAATTATCTTATTGGCGAAATCTTGTGGTCAATTTGAAACTGTGACGTGACGTTGTTGTTGAGGAAGTTTAATGTGATCTTTGTAATACTTAAAGAAATATCCCAAATGCAAACTTATATATAAATAAATTTGAAATAATACATTAACTGTTTAGTTAATAAAAGTTTATTATTGGTTCAATTGCAGGAGGATGTAAAGCCGCCGCCTAAGCCCGCAAAGACGCCGCGAAAACGACAACCGAAGAAGACGCTTATTCCAAGTAGCGAATACAGTACGGTTCGCAGTCCACAAGAATCGCAGCATCACCAGTTGCAGCAACAACAACAGCATAATCAACAGCAACAGCAGCAGCAGCAGCAGCAAAATACGTATTACGATTTTAACAGCAAGTGGAATGCACCGCTCAAAACGGAGAACAATGCGGCGTCTGTGTCGCCTGCGACGACCATCAACATACCCACATATCCGCAGCATAGCCAGCAACACCAACAATCCTCTCAGCAGCAGCAACAGCATCTTCCACAGCCCGCACACCTACAATCATCGCAGGCGCAATCGCACCTCACGCAGTTAGCCCAGTACTATCCAGCGTTTCCGCAACCCATTGCATCCCAGTATACGGCGTGTATGCAACAGCAACAGCAACAGCAACAACAACAGCAGCAGCAGCAGCAACAACAACAACAGCAACAGCAGCAACAACAGCAACAGCAGGTGTACACGCAACAACAACAACAGCAGGTGTACACACAACAACTACAGCATCAACAGCAGCAGCAGCAGCAACAACAACAGCAACAGCAACATCAGCAGGATAAAGTCGAAGCTGTGCAGCAGCAGGAGGAGGAATCGGCAGCTGCTGCTGCCGCTACCGAGGCCAGCAATAAAGTCATTGTGCCAAACATAGAAGAGGAACTAGACTTTTTGGCCGATGCAAATAGTGTGGCGAAACAGGGTTATGCAAATTCGTTGGCTACCAATGGACGCAACACTAACTCCTCGACAAACAATACAAACTTTGGCATACGTAATCCTAATAAAACGCCTTCACCGGAGCCGCCTTCTTCAACGCACGACTGCAGCAATAATGGGATAACGCCGGCTACAACAACGCTCTGCACATCCAGTTCGACGTCGTCATCGTACAGTCCATCCGCGCCGAAACCTGTTAGCGTGGGCACGTCAATTGGCGAGAAGAAAACACAATTTATGGATAGCTATCTTAAATTTCTACAAGGTGAACGTGATGACGATCCTCCGCCAGTGGTGAAGCCATCGCGTAAGCTTAATTATCCACGTGCTCCATATAAACGTAAAGGCAAACCCGGTGCCGGTGATGAAGCGTCCACATCGCAGGTAACGACGTCTTGTGGAACAGCGGCGGACAGTCAGGCATCACAGAACTTGGCCGGTCTCGTCGGCGACGATGGGCATCGTATCAAAATACTCTCACAAACTCAAATACTGCCTAAAAAGAGGCCGCATGCACAAATGGTGGCGGCGGCAGCTGCAGCAGCAGCAGCCGCTGAATCAACATCTACCTCTGTCATACAGCACCCCGCAGCCGATCAGACGACATCTTCGTTTCGGCCATACGCCCAGCAGCAACAGGAGTCGCCTGGTCTGGGCGCCGCACAGCATTTTGTGCAGCAGCATTGCGCGCAGTTGGGTAGCGGGAGCGGCAGTCAAGGTATGTTACTTGACCAACAGCATAATTCCAATAAGCACTCTACTATCGCAACTACTACTGCGCCATGCAACAACAATTACAACAACAACAACAACCACCATCACACACCCGCCGCCGCCGCCGCCGACGCGCCAACGGCGGCAGCCACCATCAACACAGCAGTTAGCGTGGCAACAGCACCAGCCGCGCCCAATCATCATCACCTTATTAATCTGATTTGGCCATGGCAGCATTAGTCGCGATAATGACCACATCGCATCCATGTGACTCGACAGACGAGACAGAGACAACGAACCTTAAACCAGGGACATGGACACTGTGCATATGTAAAAACCGAATACATAAACTTAACTTTTAAAATTGTTATAATGCCGAATCGCAAGAGCAAAAAAAAAATAGAAAGAAAGTATAAGTATTTTTGAGATGGAATACCGAGAACAAATATTATTAATTTAAAAAAGAAAGAAAAAATCATCAAAAAATAAAAACTTGTATTTTTATTATTTACCTGTGTGAGATAAACGACGAACGGCTGCAGCGGCAGTGTCGTCGATGGCTTCTCGGCTGTGGGTTTATGTTGTTGACGTAGTTGTTGTTCCGCGTTTGGCATGCATTGCCATATTGGTTGCTGTTTCGCTCTCTACTACCACCACCACAACCACCACCACCACCACCACATTGTTGCTTGCTAACTACTTTTGTGCTCTCCACAGACCCTTTAAATTTACCGCCGCGTCGGGAGCAATGCTCCCGCAAGGCCAAGGAGAGCAGTATGCACGCGCTTCTCTTGAATACATCAACAATTGGGGAGGGCGGCGCGGTTGGTGAGCCGGAGGAGTTCACAGACTCGGACACGGATCCCGTTTGGACGCCGCAGGAGGAAGATGTAAGTGTATCTTGCCTGCTCGTCCGTTGTCGTTGGCGTTTCTTATCCATACCTTACCCAACTATACAAATATATATATCAAACAGAGTGACGATGGCAAGGGCTATGGGAAGCGCAAAGCAGCGCGACGCATCAAGGGAACGCCGCGCAAGAACACATATTGTCAGCCAACAACGCATTTGCAACAGCACCAGCAATTGCAACAACTGCAGGCGACGCAGCAGCAACATCAGCAGCAACAACAGCTGCATACCTCCAATGATGGCTATAATCCGCAGCAGGATCTGCAAAGTGGCGCAGCCGTTAGTTATGGCAGTGCAGCATCGGCATCTGCAACCACGGCTGAGAACTTTAAAGTAGCACCTAACTCACCTATTCCGTATTCTCAAAGTTTAATATTCTCTTTTTTTTTGCACAGACCGGAGACTTTATCGTTTTACGTTCGGATTTGGTTAATGACTGGCCCACCATTTGGCAGGTGGATTCCAAATGTATATTGCAAAAGTATGAGCCGTTTCGACAGAACGGCAAAACCTTTTACCGCAACATGTCGAAAGTAAATTTAAATCACATTTATTTTTGTTTTCAAAATCCTAAATGTTCTTTTTGTACACATAGTACGCATCATGGAATCTTGAAACAAAGAAACTCTACCTCAAAGCTCCCGTTCGCATACAGCTACAATCTCACACAGAAACAATTGTGGAGTTCATGCGTTCTGAACTGCTCGCCGATGATACTGAGCAGTTTATTGAAAAGATAATGGAGGACTTCCTGTCCTATCGGGACAATTTCGAAATTTATATACAAACAATGATATCGCAGGCGCTCGATCCTAGCTTCTTCTCTGAGATAACTCGCGAAAAAGGTAGATTTTTATTAATCAGTTGAAAAAGAAACGTCCTTTAATTAAAACTCGTAATTGCAGATGACTACTTTTTGGGAAGCGTGCGCGTAATAGACAATATAATGGACAATTGCAAGCGGAAATTGTTGGCTATCACTCCATGGACACGTAGCATTATCTCGTCAATTGAGACGTGGCCCAAGTGTCATGTTTTCTCTGAATGGGTGCAGAATAATTTAACCCAAAAGAATTGCGCTGGCTGCCATCAACCGGGCATTGCAGTTCGTTTCCTTCTATTTGGGGAGCCCTACAATCCAAACACCATGCAGACCATATCTGCAGATGTACGAATCGTATACGAGAAGGTAAAGAAGCATATATAATTAAATTGTTTTACTCTTGGCTGATTGTATTTTATTATCCTAACAGGACATTGTGTTGTGTCGTATTTGTGCCGCGCGTGCGGATCTCTTCCACAAGATAGCGCATGAGAAGTTTAACCTGTTTATCAATTGCTCGCAACGTGTGACAGAACAGCAGCAACAGTGTCCCGGCAAGACATCGACGGAAATACTAAATGATCTGTTGGCCGAACACAATTGGATAGATGAGGTTAGTTATGTCATGTCGTATCTTGTATTTATCTAAACAGTTTATCTTTTATAGCTATTTCGTAATATGCGCAACTGTTGGGCCGAGGTTGAAAGCTTGGAGAGACAAAAACGTTTCCGCGAAGTAATGCAGTAATCAAGGAAAGGCATTGTATACTTACTGAACGTTACAGATGTAGCTGAAGCTGCTTGAAAATATTTAAATGTATACAAGAACGCTGCAATAAACTCAATGAGTTGTTAGTTTATATTCATACCAATAATCTTAAGTTGTGGTTTTACGTTAAAAGCTTTTACAAATTTCATATCGCGTTCTTCTTAAGTCTGCGATCCAATGTTATGCACATGGCATAAACATACTATGTTAGAGTGTTTATGCTGTGACTGGTTGTAGCTACACGTATAAAACTATTGTATATAATATTATAATTCGGGTATATTTGCAAGTCTCTAATGCGATTATGTTAGTAATTATCTCATAAGCTTTTATCTGCAAATCCAATGCAAAATGATTAGATGCATACCATATAGTAATTTAAGTTGTCCCTTGCCTAGTGGAAAGCAATTTTTATGTTTACCAACACACCCAAAACTTACGTAGAACCGACATATGTAAGCACACTACATAATACTATTAGCACCTTCAGTATAAATGGATTTTAACAATAGACAAAGACACAGACGCAGAATTTATTGTTTGCGGCCTTTTATTTTTAATGTCCATGACCGAAGTAAATGTATTTAAGTAGTTCTTATATATAAATATATATTTAAATATTAAGTGTAAATTTCTTTCGCTCTCAAGTTCATTCAATAATTGAAATAAATTGCTTGTAAATAAAAGAAATATATATAATTTAAAACGTACGTCTTTTATAGTTATATGTCTGGAATTTGTGCCAATATTTCGACCTGGACAGAGTATCAGCAATTTGAGGAGATTCTATTTACATTTATTGTATTTTTCCATTCTTTTTGCTTTTGTCCAGTTTGCATGGAAGGCATAGCATGGCCACACACAATAACCGGCCGGACGGTCTGTGGCCTTGACAAATCGCTTGGTCGCGCCCTCATTTCAAATTTGTTGCTGAATTTCACGTCAACCCGGAAACTTTTCTACCTTTTCTCTATGGTAACAAGAGGTAAACACTTATTTGAATTTTCCTCAAAACGTCAGACTTTTACTTCATCCTTTAACTACCATCCAGTATTTTGCAATTCTACAATATCTGCAATGTATTATATGGAAAATTTCCTTGAAACTAAAGAGTCGTGGTCTAGCTACGTATACTTAGCTAGAGAGCTTCACCGTATTCTATACGTACTTACTAATTACTTAGCTACATGTATACAACACTGAAACATTGTTCCTTTTTTAATAACCTGTGTTTATGTGTTTTTTGTCCAATTGCTATGAAATTAACCGGATACATGACATGCGAAAATGCAAAGTAGTTGCTATTCGTGTTTTTTTTTCACATAACAAATGGGAAGTTATAAAAAGGGAAATAAACCGCTTAACCTTGTTTACAGATTTAGTTAGGGGAGCGCTCAAGTCTTTGCCATTTCGTTCAATACGTTAAAAGCCGCTAAGCTTTGCCGTTGGCTCCTTTGAACGTCAGGCTAGCAGAGTGGAAAGGAATTCACAAACTGCGCCATTTTCAATATATGCAAGTTGAAGCCACGGAGAACGGCTTTGATATTTCTACGGAGATAATCGCTTCAAACTGGGTGTGGCTGCTGTTTACCCCTGACATTGTCCTTCGAGATGGATTTTGAATTAAAAAAAATAAATTGAATTTAAAAAATATATATATGTATATGCTTAGAAATATGAAGAAATGAGAGTGAAAGTGTGTGTGGAACGCGCAGCCTCCGCGCCATTAGAAAGGGGCAGCAAAAACGCGGCAAGCGTACCATCAGCTGATTTTGGTAACGATTTTTGTTTTCTTTCATTTTCGCAATAACTGCGCCGTCGCCATTGCCAGCGCCAGCGCCAGCGACGGCGACAGCGACAGCGACGGCGTCAGCGACATCGACTAAAAGGATTTCCGTGCTTTCAGCTCATTTCAGTTCGTATCGGTATTCCATACAAGACGGAACGGAACGGAACGCGAGTCACCCAAACATTTCATGCATATAAGCAATATTCGCATTGCTGCTGCACTCAACGCTCAACGCAAGTCGTGCTATTTCAGAACCGTAACATTGCTGCTCTGTGTGTGTGCGTGTTTCTGTTTCTGTTTCGGTCAGTGTTGGTGTGCCGCATCAGTTTTCTGTTTGGCTTCTTTTAATCATTTGCCGCCTTTATACATATGTATGTGTGTCGCTCTTCTCTGTTATGGCCGCTGTAATACATATCTGTCACTTGATGGTGCAACAAAGTTCGTGTTAACGTACGTAGACAACGCATACGTACGCTCGCTCGCACGTATATACCTTTATTTCTACTGCCGAAGATTAAGATTAAGATGAATCTGTGCGGTTCATTAAGCCGCGAACTCTTCCTCGAAGGTATACCCACATTCATATAATTTACATATTTTCCTATGCACATCAACATGTCCATGAAATGTCAAGCGTTGGCATTTGTTTTTGCTTCCACAGTGTGTATTTACCTAAGTGTGTATATGACATTAGCTGGAGGCTTAATTCAACAATAGCTTTTCATTATGTTTTTCCTTATTTTCATTTAAATATTTGCTAGACACCAACTTAAATATCATGAGTGAAAATATGTATACGTACATATATATGCATCTATTCTGTCCACATATTTATAAATATAAATCAAAACAAACACCAAAGTATTTCGGAACGAGTGCGTATGACTACCAGATACGCTGTATATTTTATTTCGATTTATAAATATGTATATCTACATATATAATGGGCTAAAATCAACTAGAATTCGTTGCTTTCATAAAATGAATAGAGATAGAGTATATTTGACAAAACTATTTTCTTAGATATATAATTATATTTCATGCGTACAGGGTATACAGGCACCAGCACATCAGAAATCTGCTCTAAAAAGTAATTTCAAAATATATTTTATTGTTGTACATTTGCACATTTTTCTCAATTTGTGGAGGAGAGACAGTTCTATGGGATTTTATAGATAGAGAAATTCGTCTTTTGGCTTTTCAGTTGATATCCGGTAATAATAAGTATTTGCATCCCAAGAATCTATTAGCTCTTAACTTTCTGTCTCTGTTGTCTGTCTGTGTACAACATATTTGGTAATTATCTGTTAGATGATGTCATTAGTCATTAGACAATCTGTCTTAGCTGGCCATGGTCCAGAGTGCAGCTGTCCATGCAATCAAAAGACCGCAAGTGACCTTTATGATAATGGTAATTGAAACAAATTGTGCCGTAACTTTCGTTTCCTGGCTAAAACAAAAGTTGTTCATATAATTAGAAGAAATGGCAGCGTATTAGCTTAATTCTCATTCCCACGTACAATTACCGCTTAATATTATGTTTGACTTGGCTTTGATTGCACAGGAATCCCTGCGAGTAAAAGAATATTTCCGAGTTCCATCAACGATGATTAAGGCATTATGCGAATTATTTCCAAGAACTCCAAATTGGACTTTTGGGTCAAAGTTATGTTCCAGCACCGAAAGGCGAACGTGGAAGGAACCGAGCGCACGTGGAAATTTGTTGAAAGTTATAAACCACGGTTAATAAAATGCGCCGCCCATAAACAGCATCCAATTTCAGTTTTACAGCTTTGCGTGCTCCTCCCGCAATAGTAAAAAGTGAATTTGTAATCGATATTGGGTCTTACATTTCCAATTCAATGGACGAACTCCAAGTCAGGTGTCGAACTACAGAAAGCCAATTAAAAAGCACAACAAATAGAAGTTAACTTATAAATCATCGTGGAACTTAGAAGGTCGCCGACGTGACAGCAAGTTGCCTCAACTTAACTTGGATGAGTTTACGTCTCGAAGGACCCTCGCATTTGATGCGTCTGCAGCGCGCACATTTTTTAAAAAATAATCTTATTTACAAATTGGAAATTAATTTAGAAACATTTTCACTCTCTACAAATTGAATTTTGATAAAAGTTTCGCAGGCACTTGCCTCCTGCCGCATGCTATATGCCACATGCGACATGCCCCATGGCTCATGCCCCGCCACTCTTGACGCCATTTTCGACACGATTTATGCGTGTTGTGGTGCTCGTTACCATTGGGGCCAGTCGAACGCCAAAGGAGCCAATAAGCCACGCTGCGGGTTTCTTCATTTTGCGCACTTTGTTGCAAGATTTTACCTGGCGAAGGCAAGGCTTTGCTTTACGAGAATACGTGTGGTTGCCTGCGGCTAATGTCCTGTAAATTCTTCACCTTTTTCCTGTGCTCGCATTTAAGGCTTTTACATTTTTTAGCTCACTATCTTTTGATGGCCAAATTATTAGCTGGCCGAGTAGCTGAGCACTGAATGGGGCACACAACTGGCAGCATCGCCTCACAGTGCCAGCTATCCACACACACACCATACAGAGGAAGCGAGCATCTAAAATGCCTTTGTCACGGACAGACATTAATTAACACCGATGACACCCACAACTTAACAAATAAACCTTAATGGGGAATGATATTCGCTTCAGGGACTTTGAGCATATTATATATGCTTCTTTTCTCTATAGTTTTTTTTTGTTTTATTTTTTTTAATTTTCATTTTGTTTTTTATTTTAGCTTAAATCATTATTCATTCAACCGCACAGCAAGCAGACTTCCGTTAGCTAACGCCAGAAAACGGATGTAGCATGCTTCCCACGTATGTGTGATGTATGCATGTGTGTGTACCGTATACATGTGGTATTATAGCCCAAGTTGACTACGGGAGGACGAACACAATAGTAATGTATGTATGCATACCTAATTATGTATACATGCATACATACATAGGTGGTTAAGACTGAAACTTAACATAAATAGAGCAGATGAATGTACGTGTATTTATGCATGTACACACACACTTCAGCTATGTAGAGTGGTATGTATATACATACACATGTATGGAGCTAGCTTAAGCTGATGCAGAAGTCGAATGTATACATGCTACAATGTACATATGTATGTGTATATAGTATGCTAGCTTTAACCAGAGACAAAAGATGTGTATGTATGTATGAATGTATGCATGTATAAATGTATATATGTATATATGTATATATGTATATATGTATATATGTATATATGTATATATGTATATATGTATATATGTATATATGTATATATGTATCTATGTATCTCTGTATATCTGTCTCTCTGTCTCTCTGTCTCTCTGTCTCTCTGTCTCTCTGTCTCTCTGTCTATCTGTCTCTCTGTCTCTCTGTCTCTCTGTCTCTCTGTCTCTCTGTCTCTCTGTCTCTCTGTCTCTCTGTCTCTCTGTCTCTCTGTCTCTCTGTCTCTCTGTCTCTCTGTCTCTCTGTCTCTCTGTCTCTCTGTCTCTCTGTCTCTCTGTCTCTCTGTCTCTCTGTCTCTCTGTCTCTCTGTCTCTCTGTCTCTCTGTCTCTCTGTCTCTCTGTCTCTCTGCCTCTCTGGCTGTCCCTCCCCTGTCCTCTTCCTCTCTCTGTCTCGCTCTGTATGCATGCATGTATTAATGCAAGTATGTATGTATATATATTGATGTATACAAATACATATGTATGTATGTATATGTATGTATGTATATGTATGTATGTATGTACGTATATATGGGCGTAGACATACATGTATGTATGTATATATGTATGTAAGCGTGTAAGTATGTATTAATGCAACTATGTATGTATGCATATATGGATGTATGTAAATATGTACATATGAAAATGCGAATGAATGTATGCATTAGTGCATTAGTTGATGATGTATCTATTATGTATCTATGCATGCATATATGTACCTGTGTATATGTATGTTTGAGAGCAGTTATGTACTGTATATTCCTATATATATATATATATATACATATATATATATATATATATATATATATATATATATATATATATATATATATATATATATATATATATATATATATCTGCTGAAACTGTGCTTCATGCTATTAACAATTGAATAAAAACATAATTGTTGTAATAAAGTAAATTTGCCTTTTTGTTTACTTTTAGTTAACCGCAAGACTTAAATAAATATATATTTTAGTAATATGATAAGTAAACTGAATTGCACCGAAGGCAATAGACAAAACAGACAAAGCGAGAGCAGAAAAAAGTAAGTGCCAAGATACGTAGGCAGGCACACACCCGGCCGTAGTTGAAGGACGGACAACGCATTTTCCGGCGGCAAGTATGGCCGCATCAAATTACGTTACGCGGGGCATCAGACAACATACTCGTACTACATGGCACTAAAACAAGGCCCAAGGCAAAAGCAAACACTCATGCATGTGGCATGACTACGACTACGATTACGACTACGACTAGAAGCGAGTTGTGTGTGGAGCTGCAATTAAGACAGACCGTGCCGGAGGCCGATGACAATAGGTGCGCCCCATCGTCCTCGTCGTCGGCGTCGTCATCGTCGACCTGTTAGTGCTCTTCAAGTTATTCAACATCCACGCCACGCCACTCCACGCCACGTTGCGCCACGCCACACCACGCTACACCACGCTACACCACGGTCATAGGTTAGCCCCTGTCCGGGCTAAGCCAGCCAAACAGCCAAATCCGAAGCCAACATGTTGCGCAGCTGCGTCTGCCTGCAAAGAGCTGGTGGCGGCGGTGGCAAGCGACGCAGCTCCTCCGTGGAAGACGCCTCGTCGTGTCGCTCGTCGGAAATAGAGCGTGTCGGTGCCAGCATGCAGACAACCACACTGGGCTCCAATGGCCAGCCACAAACGCTCGCTCCTCAGCCAAATACGCGCGCATCCAGTCTGCTGCAACTGTTCCACAGGAAAGGTTGGTGCAAGCACTTCCGCAAACCGCTCCGAGGCATGAGTGCAACGCGAGTCGAGAAATGTGAGTAGCAATCGTAATTCCCACTAAACCTATTCTGAATATGCATGCTCAAGGATAATATGAAATCGGAAAATTAGCATAATTGATTTAGGTTCCTTCGGGTGTTTCGCGTCTATTAGATTCCAACTCTAACAAACACCTTCGTCTGTGCTACAACATTTGTTACGAATACGCAAATCTGAAGCCTGTCGTAGGATAAACAGGAACATAAAATTTCCTACGCCTTAGAAGGGAATGTTGCACAGCAACGCATTGAATCAATTTAGCTTGTGGCATGGACGCTCAGCCTGAGCTTTGTTAATTATCGGCAATTACTCGGTCAGTGAGGAAAGCGATTGCCTTCAAGTCGGCGAATCATTCAATCAGCTAATCAAGCAGTCAATCAGTCAATTAGGACATTCATTAGCAAACGTTTAGTCGATTAGCTAATCAATTAAGCGATTACTCACTCTGTCAGTCAATCGGTAAATGTATCAATCATTCAATTGGTCAGGCAGGAAGCCTATCTCTCAACCAAACTGCAATAGTCAGACAGTTAAGTAGTTGCTTGATCAGTCAGTCAGTTAGTCAATCATTTATTGCGTCTGATATGTGATCAATCAATCAAGCATTCAATCGATCAATCACTCGATCAGTCAGTCCATAAAATGGGCAATGACAGGCAGACATCCTCTCAATCAGTAAAGCATTCAATCAATCACTCAGTCAGTCAGTCAGCTATTTCACTTCAGTCACATAATCATGCCACTCCGTTAGCCAATCAATTGGTAAATCAATCAATCAATCAGCCTAGTCCGCCAGGCAATCAGTCAATCAATCGCTCAAGCTGTGGCGTAAACGACTGAAGTATCTATTTCAAAGCTTTTCTTATCTTTCATGGCAACACCTAAGCTACACCTGTTAGAACCCACATTTCCTTGATATCGATTTGCGGGTGTGGAGGACGCAGTAACCAAAATATTGAAATGAACCTGATCTGCTTGTGTGTTATGCTAAGAGTGAAGCAGAGCCAGTGCTCTAAGTGGTCTACTTATTTCAACACTCAACGAAAAATAATATAAAACAATACCATAGCCGACACTACACCTACTTCCTCCTCTGTGTCGGCCCCCATCCAATTTCAACCTTATTTCCAAGGGTCAGCCCCATTGTCGCGTTTTAGCCAGTGGCTGCGCTCGTCTGTATTGTGTTACAATTTGTGTGGCTCCCAAACGAATTTAGCAGACGACGACAGCCGAAGCCCCCACTTTGCCCCTTCTCTTGACACATTGCTTGACCGCAATGCTATTGACCAAGAGGGGGCCAAAATCGACTGGGTCGACACTCACATGGAAACACGCACACATATAGCACAGACAAATATAGGTACGCAGTGCTAGTGGCACAGGGTGAGGCGCACCAAAACCCTAGAGAACCACTGAAATACCATTTGCAGGTCATTCGAGTGGCAGTCGTCTATGGGATTCCGCGTGAACAACAGTGAAAAGTCTTTCCTAATCTATAATAATTGATTTTTGCATGCTTTCAACTTATGTAAAGTGCGCCGGAGGCTCTGTGAAAGCGTTAAGATACATAACTCCAATGTCATGATAAATCGGGCGAGCAGCTTTAGCTGACCAATCAATGGGTTGTATTGAAAGTAGAAAAATACGTAAACAAAAATTAGAAGAATGTATGCAATGCAATTTGCGATTTGCAATTGAAACACAGTAAAACACTTGACCATTGACTGCTATTCAATTATTGTTCCTATTGTTGACTGTCTTCAATAGTATAATTTATGTTAAAACTTGTGCCGACTCCACTCAACTCAGCGACAACACACAAAATTTAAAGACTCTTGTTTTAGTACTCCTTTCTTCGCTTCTGTTACATAATAATGGACGAGAACGGCAAGTAATAATTTAATTTGCAGGGAGCATGCACATGCATATATAAATATATATATATATATATATATATATATATATATATATATATATATATATATATATGCTCATGCGATGCAGTCCTTGCATCCTGAACGTTAGAGCAATCATTCAATTAGTCTGTCTGTGTCAGCTTTTCCGACCGTATTTTCATTCCTAGGTGTTTCAAGGACCACGAAAAAAGAGGCGAGCTGTGCGTCATGTCAATAAATATATATATACAAAATAAATATACAAAAGTGCATTTTTTGATTGAATATAATATTAAGTGCCTTTTCGAACCTATTATCATGTTAAGTGCATTTTGGAATTGAATTAAGTTCCTCGTTGTGGATAAACCCTAATAGACCTTAACTTCTCTTTTCGATACCAATTTATCAAAAATGTAAAACGTAGTTAATGTATATGTAAATGCAATTTTAAAATTGCTTTCAATTTAAATATTAAAATTCTTTTTCAGCTATCCGTGCGGCAATATTCATCCAAAAATGGTTTCGCCGACATCAAGCGCGACAGGAGATGCGGAAGCGTTGTAATTGGCAAATATTTCAAAATGTGGAATATGCCTGTGAACAGGATCAGGCGGAGGTAAGCTTCTGATGAAATGCACATATATTTATACTCACTTTGTATAAACAATAAATGCTATATCTAGATTATATATATTGAAAAATATTTCTATATCAGCCAAGCGAAAAAGTAATAATTGTTGAATAACTTTTCTGCTTTAATAAACTTTCATTTGACACTCTCAACACATTAGAAAAAGAAAGGGATAACAAGTTTTTGTAAATTTGTGTGTAACGAGAAAAAGAACAATATAAAATATACATGCTTGATTCGGCCAACTAGCCACTCGAACTGGTCAAGACCCTTCTTCCATCCTAACTGTCTATCTAAAGCTTGAAAAGTAAATTCTCGTATGAAGCTCAAGCTTATCACTTATTTTTTAGCTTCGATGAAGTCAATGAGATTACTTAATTATATTATAAAATCGATATGATAATGAGTACATAAATTATGAATACTTCTGATTGGAGGGAGTATTCGAAAATAGGACTATTTGCAAGTCATTTCATGCTAGGAAAGAAGCTGCCTGCTGTCTGGCGTGCGATGCGTTTGTCATGTCAGCACTGAAGAGGCTATATAAGACTTAGCCCACTACGTTTCCCTGAGGTACTACAATTCGGACGGCTCTTTTATCAAATCTTGCGTCTTCACACTTCACATAGAAATTTCTTCTTACAGCTTCAGATTTTAGCAGTCTGTAATATGGTGCGGGCGAGGCAGTCTTTAACTTGTTGAGCAGGTCGTTCAATAAGGCAGTGCAGTCCTTCTCTTCTTCTAGAATTTATTGTACTATCCTACGACATTATGCAGGCGGGCCATGGCATACTCTGAAGGGAAGAAGGAATCATACTGGCCCTCTACATTAATGGGGCAGATTTATAATACAAAAATACATCGGGCTTGGCTGGATCTACGCTTGGGCATTTAGATGTCATATTCATGGCCTCAACAAGTCCAGATATCTGGAACAGAAGTTACAAAGTAACTAACTTCCCATAGTGTAGACAGAGAACAGGTGCTAGTGGCACGGGTGCATTGGGTTTTGTGTATGTGTAGAAGAGTTCTTAAATAAATTGAAATGGGGCTTTGAGTAGGGACTCATATTAAGGCCTAAGCATTATGCGTAGCTCTTATAATTATTGAGGAAATTAAAAACAAACTTTTGAAGTTTCATTATATTTGGCTCAAGCTTCAGTTAATTAAATAGTTCTAAATAAAATGTAGCTGCAAAGCGGTTCGGGCCTGCCTTGTAAATTGAACAAATGCTCTGGAATGAGCATTAGCGCAGAAGCTCGGCCAAAATAGAAATGTGCATTTGTTCAGATTCGAAAGTCGATAGTACTTAAATGAGCTAAAGAATACACGCAGAGGCACGTCTAATGTATGTACACACATGCACATTTATGTTCATGTATGTGTGTATTTAGAACTTGTTTTATGGGTCGCATTAAATATTTAATTGATTTCTATTTTTAGCTTTACAAATTCTTCAATGACCTTATCAAGCACATGCCCCAGGCCGTCGAGGCGGGAAATAAGTGTAACTCACAACGATGTAGGTCTAACACCTGAGTCAATTCGGTTCAGCTTGATAACTAGTATATTTCAATTAGGTTCTGGCTTGGAGAAAAGTGGTACCTTGTACGAGGAAAGCGGCGACTTGGCACGCATAGAGCTGGAAGTACCCATCCAGAAAAGCCACATAGATCTCATGATAGATGTGTTCCGCAAGAAAAGGGTATGTCGTGGGGTAGTTGTCTCTCAAGTTGTAAATCACATTCAGATTTTGTGCCATCCAGGGCAACCGTCTGCATCCCAAATATGTGTGTCTGATACTGCGGGAGGCTGCAAAGTCGCTCAAGCAGATGCCGAACCTTTGGATGGTGTCGACTGCTGTCTCCCAACAGGTAACCATTTGTGGTGATCTGCATGGCAAGCTGGACGATCTGCTGGTTGTACTCTATAAGGTAATATCTAGCAACGTTTTCGTAACTCCCACATGCCAAAGAGTCCGGCGTGCTCCTGTTTTTCAGAATGGTCTGCCGTCCGCTAGCAATCCTTATGTCTTCAATGGCGACTTTGTCGATAGAGGCAAAAGGGGGCTGGAGGTGTTTCTGCTGCTGCTATCGCTGTACCTGGCATTCCCTAATGCAGTCTTCCTGAATCGTGGCAATCACGAAGACAGTGTTATGAATGCCCGATACGGCTTCATACGCGAAGTGGAAGGAAAATATCCTGTAAGTAAACCTGATACGCCTTGCCTTGTTTTATGCTCTAATTCGCATTGCTCTTATCTTTTTAGCGAAATCACAAGTATTTGCTGTCGCTAATCGATGAGGTTTATCGCTGGCTTCCACTAGGCTCTATTTTAAACAATCGCGTGCTCATTGTCCACGGTGGCTTCTCGGATAGCACCAACCTGGACCTCATCAAAAGCATCGACAGGGGAAAGGTAGATGCGCAGCTCTCTCTGTAACCGACTAGAGATATCGGATGCTTAACTTATATTATTATTATCATTATTCCTTTTTAGTATGTTTCCATTCTACGTCCGCCGCTAATGGACGGCGAGGCTCTGGACAAGGCAGAGTGGCAGCAGGTAAAAGAGTTGCAATTTACCTTCTGCTGTCTGCTAAATGGCTAAAACTATGTTTGCAGATTTTCGATGTCATGTGGAGCGATCCGCAGGCCTCGCAAGGCTGTAAGCCGAACCAGTTACGTGGCGCCGGTGTTTGGTTTGGTCCAGATACAACCGAATCATTTTTGAAGCGCCATCGACTCAGTTACGTGATCCGCTCGCACGAATGCAAGCCGAATGGACACGAGTTCATGCATGACAACAAGGTAAAGGTGGTGCAGACTTGCCGAACAGATCGTCAGTATTGATAGTATTGTCTATGCAGGTCATCACGATATTCTCTGCTTCAAACTACTATGCCATCGGCTCCAACAAGGGCGCTTACATGCGTCTGAATAATCAGCTGGTGCCGCACTTTGTCCAATACATTTCGGCTGCCTCGCAGACCAAGGAGCTGTCCTTCAAGCAGCGCATGGGCATTGTGGAGTGCGCGGCCTTAAAGGAATTGGCTGTGCGAATGCGCGAGCATCGGGATGAGCTGGAGGAGGAGTTTCAGAAGTACGATCCAGATGACAGCGGCTGCATAACCATTGCCAAATGGTGCTTTGTCATGGAAAGTGTCACCAAGTTGGGCTTACCCTGGCGATTGCTGCGCGAAAAACTGGCCCCAGGCACGGATAGCCAAAGTGTAAACTATATCCGCACATTGGATTTGCTGGACACGGATGTTATTGTAAGCAATGAAATGGAAATGAAGTTTCATTTTACCTTCATCGTCCTCATCTTCCAGATGAAAGCTGAGGCTGACGGCACCTCGGTTATGGACGCTTTGTATGCCAACAAAGCCAGTTTGGAAACCATATTCAATATTATAGATGCTGATCATTCAGGTTTACTATACTTAAGTCCCGCATCTAATCAGAAATTGTTTAATTTGTCATCTATATTCTCCTCAGGCGAGATCACTCTGGATGAGTTCGAGAAGGCGATTGATCTGCTGGTTACCCATATGCCTGGCGTTTACTCAAAAGATGAGATGTTGGAAAAGTGCCGTATGATGGATCTCAATGGTGATGGCAAGGTGGATCTGAACGAGTTCCTAGAGGCATTTAGGCTAAGTGACTTGCACAGAAAGGAACAGCAGGAAGAATATCTACGCAAGCGTTCAACAACCAAATCCATTATATCGCAGCATCCCTCAGACTCCGTGACAAAGCTCGCTGATACGATATCCAAAAATACGGTGATCATTGAGCGGGATATCGATCCGACTGACTGTGAGGCGAAAGACGTTGAGCAAAAGTCATAAATGTTATAAGGATTGAGTAGTACAATATATGCAATTATTTCTCAAAATTATAAGAAGTCAGATTTAACATATTGACACTAAAATTATGATAGGAACAAAGATTAAGTTATATAAAAAGAAATTCCGAATCGCTTTTAAGACCAAGCCGAAATAAATTTAAATTTGTCTTCAGCTGGTTTTAACCGTCAACACTTTCAAGGCTTGCTTAAAATATTCCATAAAGCGTATTTACTATTGATTGGCTTATTTTTTGCACAAATGTTCAACTAAATTTCGTGGTATATAGCATACATATATATATATCTTAAATTTGAAAGGCAATTATAGGGGCTGTCGATCGAGGAAAGTGTTTGTTGGTGATTAACAGAAATGAGAAAATGTTTATATATATATATCCATTACAAAATATATTATATCTAGCCTTAAGCTCCATTTACCTCTGCTTATATATATTTCCAAAGCATAAGTCGAAGGCAAGCTAAAAGTTGGCCAATGGGCCATATCATTCCCAGCCTTTGGTTTCCTCTCAATTGCATTCAATTACAATTAGCAATAAGTAAAACGAAGGATTATAAGTAATCATAAATGATTTATGGATTTTAAGAACTGCTTTTAACTAAAATATATTTTATTTTTTAGCTACCCAAAGTACAAACGATATATAAAGTCATAGATAACAGCAATTTATATATGAAACAGCGGTACTCGAATATGTAAGAATTGCATAAGGAAACCAATTGCTAGCACGTTTTACTACATGAATATAATATAAATATCGCAATTGTTTAAACATATTGTTCAAGCCAAGGGATCAAAATCTAACATTTAAAACTGTTTTGAAATGCTTACCTAATACAATAGTAATTATATTGTTACATATACATATACGCTCAGTTGGGCAATGTTATTAATATGCAAGAAAATATATTTATGTTATATGCAAAATACATACATACATACATATATATATTTTGATAAGTCCAGTCTTTCTACATTAGCGAATTAACATAAATAAATCAATTAACGATATGCGAATATATATACACATACATATATAATATATTATAACTATCTAATGCTCTCAGATGAATATTCGGGAATTCGGAAAATTAAAAATCGCTAAGTTGAGCACTCGAGGAGTTCAGTAAATCAAACATTGTAGCTAATATTTATAATCAAAACTAACGATCTGGTCCAAATAAAATTTAATGAGTTTGCCTCATAAGGAAGTAACATTTAAATAAATTAATTTTTTGAAGATTGGTTTTGGTTTTGGCATCTTCGAATCTTGCAGCTCGTCACATAGCAAGTAGCTTTATGGAGCTGTTAAGTGCAATTGGTCATCACTGTAAGTGACGGAATTTCACATTAGTGTTGTAGCACTGAGTACTTTTCCAGCTGTGTTACACATGCATGTCAGTTTAACACGCTAAGCGGCAAATAGATTCTGTTAACGCAATTTCAGTTAACATAACGCAAATGGCGCAATTTTGCGTCATTTGGTAGCCGCCAAATGCAAATTTTAAACGCTTAGAGTGACCATACATCGAAAATATTTGAAAAGCAAGAAACAGTTTCATTTCGCGTTTGAACTATTCATGTAATTTAAATAGTAATTTATTAAATTTAAGTGAAATTTATTAAAAGGTTTATGCAGGAAATGCTAACTTTAGTTGCACAGAGTCATAAACACACTCATAACAAGTCAAAAATCAAACTAAATCGATTCAATAATAACGCAATCATGTTTGAGTTCAGTATGTCAAGGTGGAAGGCTAGGAAACACGATATACGAAACACGGAAAGTTCAAGTTTTCTTCTTGGAATCCACAAGTCCGCAATACTTGAAATGGGCGAAACACTTGTTGGATGAGAAATGCAACAAGTTTGATGCCTGGCAACGGATTGTAAACAATAAATTAAGCTCAAGTTCAGCTGTTGCATTGGCAACGCTCGTTCGTCCAAATGTTTAATCGATGCTCACTCGAAGGATGAAAACAGACAAGAAACCTGAGCACATTGAATAGACAAAATTAAGTTCAAGTATAAAAATGTCGCGCTTCATAAAAAATAAAAATAAAACAAACAAAAACAAATAAACTGGAAGAGTTGCTTCTTTTTGGGCGCATTTCCAATCCCCTAAGCAGATAAGCAGCACTCAGGACTCAGGCTTGCATCATGGGAAATACCGAGAGCAATGTGACAAGTGGCGTAAAGAAACAGGCGGGAGTCTCCACCCAGGCGCTCTATAAATTTGTCAATCTCAAGGGCGGTGGCCTTCTGGTGGACATGATGAAGCGCGCCTGCCAAACCAAACAGTTTGCCGAGATAGATCATGCAATAAAAACGAAAGTGGAACCATTTTTATATAACAAGGGAGCTGGCCGTTACTTTCCCATATCGAAGCTGGTGCTGCTGCGCAATCGGGACAGACCCCGAACGAGGCAATTGCCCGAAATACGCGCTCTTGAGAATCCCGACGACGATTTCAATATACACGACTACTGTCCAGAGGTATCCGAGGCGGAATACATATCCAATCCCTCCGCCTACCGCTTTGTGTGCTGGGACCTAAATGTGAGTCTGCCTGATATAAACTCATCCAGTTGCAGCTCAATCGAGTCATCTGTATTTCTGTAGATGCGCGGCGCTGTGGGTGAAACGATTCTGCATCTCTGCCTGCTTAACGCCTCCTCATTGCATGCGGATCTGGCGAAGCGTCTGCTGAAGTTCTATCCCAAGCTCATTTTGGACATCTACATGAGTGATGAGTATTACGGCGAGAGCGTGCTGCACATTGCCATCGTCAATGAGGATCCGGCCATGGTCAAATATTTGCTAGATGCCAATGCTGACGTGCAGGAACGGTAGGTGGTCTACAGTAGTCCTTTTTATATGATCTCTAACATTTTCCGACTAGCTGCTGCGGCGCCTTTATGTCTGCGGAGGATACCAAGGCCTCGCGCACAGATTCGCCGGACCACGAGTATGTGGCACTGCAGCCCATGACCAACTACGACGGCTACGTCTACTGGGGCGAGTATCCGTTAAGCTTTGCCGCCTGCCTGTCGCAGGTAAGCTATGAACTTCTTCACAACATATAAACATACCCATTATAATGGTATTAATTAATGCAGGAGGAGTGCTTCCGGCTGGTCTTGGCACGCGGCGCAGATCCGGACTTCCAGGATACGAATGGCAACACGGTTTTGCATATGCTGGTCATCTACGAGAAAATGGAAATGTTCGATGTGGGCTACGAGGTGGGCTCCAACATACACGTGCGCAACATACAAAATCTGACGCCCTTGACGCTGGCAGCGAAGCTGGGCCGCGTCGAGATGTTCTTCCATGTGATGAGCATTGAGCGCGAGATTTATTGGCAATTGGGCAGCATTACCTGTGCCGCATATCCACTGCTCATGATCGATACGATTAACGAGGAGACGGGCAACATAAACAAAGACTCGGTGCTGAACTTTGTGGTGTTTGGCGACAAGCTGGAGCACTTGGAGCTGCTGGATGGCGTTGTCATCGATCTGCTGAAGACCAAATGGGACACCTTCTGCAAGTCGCGCTTCTACAAGCAGTTCTACATGTTTGCCTTCTACTTTCTCATATCGCTGTTCAGCTTCATATTGCGTCCGGGTCCTGCGCCTAAGGAGGACGAAGATGAGGACCAGGAGGGCAACTCAGCGACTGCGTCGAACGGCACCGCAACTCACGATCTGTACAGCAATCGCAGCTTCACTCAGCTGACCAAGCGTGGCACCTCCAGCACCGAATACAGTGGGTTTTGTATATCTTCGCGAAGCGAGCTTGAAATTCTAATTTGTTGCCCCACAGAAACCTTTTGGCTTAACTTTACGGAATATTATGATCCCAACGAGGTTGAGACCCTGCCCGCCTGGTGGCAAACCTATGCGCAGTGCCCACTCATGAATCTGGAATCGGATCTGGCCAAGCTTCGCATTATAGCCGAGCTCATCAACTTTGTGGGCGCCATTCTCTATCTGGTCGTAGCGCTGAGGGAGGCGCGTTTCTTGGGCTACAAAATGTTCATAGAGAATCTGGTTGGATAAGCCCTGATAGCTTCATTTATCTGCTGCATGGATAGTCATGATTTCTCTTTCTAGATGACTGCCCCGTCGCGTGTCATGTTTCTGTTCTCCTGTGCGCTGATGATGACGATTCCCTGGCTGCGTGTCTCCTGTCTAACCGAAATCGATGATCACGTAACGGTTGTGATCATGTTGACTACGGCGCCTTATTTCCTCTTCTTTTGTCGGTGCGTGAATTAGCTATATGTTGTCTAGATGGACCAAACTAAAGATCTCTGTGTACTGCAGGGGCTTCAAGACCGTTGGACCCTTCGTGGTGATGATCTATCGCATGGTAATGGGAGACTTGCTGCGTTTCGTTTCCATCTACTTGGTGTTTGTGATGGGCTTCTCCCAAGCCTTCTACATCATTTTCCTGACCTTTGACAATCCATCTGCGCCCGATGATCAGGATGCTGAGACGAATCCGATGCCCTCGCCGATGGAGTCCATTGTGGCCATGTTCCTCATGTCGCTGACCAATTTCGGGGACTATTATGGCGCCATGGTGTCCACGCAGCACGAGTACGAGGCCAAGATATTGTTCTTTCTGTTTATGGTGATTGTCAGCGTTCTGCTGGTCAACATGCTGATTGCCATGATGGGCAACACCTACCAGAAGATAGCCGAGATACGCAACGAATGGCAGCGCCAATGGGCACGCATTGTGCTAGTCGTGGAGCGCAGTGTGCCGCCAGGCGAACGCCTCAAGAACTTTATGCACTACAGCCAGTCTATGTCGGATGGCAGGCGAGCTCTGGTCTTGCGCCTGAATATGACTGTAAGTCGACTGGCATAGCTCTCAGCAAGCTGTCAATGTGTTCTATTTGTATTTGTGTTCGCTTGCAGGATGAGGAGAAGGAGGAAATGAAGGAGGTGCAGGAGATGAAGCGCATCCATCAACGTTTCTCCAAAAAGCGCCAAATGGAGCGAGAGGCGCGTGCCCATCGCCGCCAGCAGGAGTACGAGAAATTCTTTGGCACAGCCCCCAAGCCGGACAGCACGGAGCAATCCAATTTGTGAATCGGCTTTCTGCTGATAGCTATTAACTAGTTCAAGTTTTATTGAATCGAATGCTTGTTCACATTGTGCAATAAATGTTTAGTCTACGAGCAGTTTCAACCCCAGCCCAGCCCAGCACAGCCCAGCCACAGCGCTAATTTAAATGCGCATCGTAAAACTCGGCTTTACGACATGGCAAACACAAACTAGCGACGCGAGGGTGCCAATAATGCGACATTTGAATGATAATAACCATCCTTATTATGGCCGTCTGGCCAATAAATCCACATCAATGGGAAGCGGGTGGAGAGTGCTGGTTCCTCAGCATATGCCACATCCTTGGCTACATCCGCCTATTGCTAGCACAAAGAAAGCAGCAAGACTCTCGTCATGCGCAGATCGGCTGCATCTTGATTACGCAATTGAAATTGTAGCAATAGATTCACTGGGGCCCACGACACCTTTCAATGTGCCTACCTGTTCAGCCAGGCGCAAGTGCAGCCGAACAATGGCCATTAGGGATATGCAGCATCGATCAGCGATCGAGATCAGCAAGCGATGCTATTTGCTGCGTGGGATCCTTTTGTAGCAGAAAGAAAAACAGGCACCGGAAACATTTACTCCTCATTGTTGTGCAGCGTTGTGCAAGAAAGGATCTGTTTAGGAATTATCCTCAAACTGTGCAGTGTTGCAGCTATTGAAAGTGTTAAAAAATAAAAACGAA